GTTCTGCTGAATGAAAGAGAACATTGAGTAACCCCCTTCTGAGATAAAGAAACAAACAACTGTAGCTTGAGTTTTCCTGCCTGGCCCACGGTCAGGACAAATCTCTGTCACCCGCCAGCCCCACAGCAGCTCAAACCCGACCAAGTAAACACAGAGACTTATATTGGTTACAAACTGTATGGCCATGGCAGGCTTCTTGCTAACTGTTCTTATAGCTTAAATCAATCCATTTCTATTAATCTATACCTTGCCACATGGCTCATGGCTTACCGGCATCTTTACATGCTGTTTCTCATCATGGCGGCTGGCAGTGTCTCTCTCACTCTGCCTTCCACTTCCCAGCTCTATTCTCCTCCTTGTCCCGCCTATACTTCCTGCCTGGCCACGGGCCAATCAGTGATTTATTTATTGACCAATCAGCAACACATTTGACATACAGACCATCCCACAGCAAACAACAACAACAACAAACAGACATAGCTAATTAAGGCTCTATTGCGCAGTGATAAGAATCATAAGATTTAAAATTTCTTGGGGTTGGGAGTGTAGTTCAATAGTATAGTGCTTGCCTAGCACTCACAAAGCCCTGAGTTCAAGCCCTGGTACTGAGAAGGAAGGAAATGTCTTTATAGTTTTATGAAATGTTGTCCTTTGTGGCCGCAGTGCCGCACATTCTTACCAGCAAAGGCTGAAGGTCTTTTTTTAAAAGCCCTCAGTTAAAAACACACAGAGTAGGTGGGGTTCTCGTGTGCTAGTGAAAGCTGAAGTTCTGGAGTATCAAAAGGCTGTGTTTCCTGCTACCTCAGTTCATTGGCACAGTTGAGTATCCTAAGGTTTATGATGCACTGAAAGGGCCACTCGTGTCTCCTGGTTCTTTGGCATGTAAGGTTTGGATTCTAGTTCAAGAGCTCTAAGCCATGCACCAGGCATAGTGGCATGTGCCTTTAATCTCAGCACTCAGGAGCCTGAGGTAAGTAGATCTCTGTGAGTTCAAAGCCAGCCTGGTGTACATAGTGAGTTCCAGACCACCCAGAATTACATGGTAAGACCTTGTCTATAAATAAACAACAACAACAACAAAAAGAATCCAAGCTTTCTACTGAATTCTGGAAGAGGCAGAAAGTAGTGCCTTGCAAAATATATTTTATGTAGATCTCAATTTTTTTTTGTGCACAGTTCTTGGATGTAAATTGTGTTTCTGAAGATGCTTATGATTGCCTGATTTTTTCTTTGGGAATCTCCATTTCCAGGGCACCGATTACAAATCAAGTTGTGGTCAGAATAATGTGTGGAACAGAGAGGCATTTGTGCCACTGAGTGGCTTCCTGGCTGCTAACAAATGCCCAGATGATGCCTGGGCCCTCCAAACCTGGAGTTTTCTAGAATAATCTTATTTTTTACTTGTCCACCCCACTAAGATGTATACCACTGAAAAGTAGTGATATGTCTGGCTCAGTCTGAATAAATAACACTTCCTACTTGGGTTCAGGACTGTCTCTTTAACCTCATGTCCTGCCTCTTGGATCTCAGCTCTGGAATCCGTGCAGGTCACAGCCATTATTTCTACTCCCCTCCATGAGGATTTCTGGAAAATACCAAAGATAAAGTGAATGGAGGGAGGGCCCAGGCCCAATGATTGAAAGGTAGAACATGCCAGAATAGAAGGAGAGGGTGGCCCTGTAGAACCTGAAAGCCAGCCACAAGGCACTGCTCAAGGATGCACAGCCACAGCATTTGTCCCGGTGTGCCCCCCACGCTCACTCAGCTTGATCACTTCTGAAGCACTCCCGAGTCCTGAACCCTGTCCTGATGCATTACCATCTGTGCAGTAAGAATGTGGCTTAGTGGTCCAGCCTCTAGAGAAGGCCCCTCTAGGAAGCAGCTGAAATAGTCATTAAGCCAAACAACAGCATCTGAGAACTGTGATTTAGTTTTTTAAAATAGGCTCTTCAGGGGCTAGGGAGACTGTTGTGGTATTGTGTTCCCCAAAATATTGTGTACCCTAATAAACTTATCTGGGGTCAGAGACAGAACAGCTACAATATTAAACATAGAAGTTAGGCAGTGGTAGCACACGCCTTTAATCCTAGCATTCCAGAGGCAGAAATCCATGTGTTCAAGGATACAGCCAAGCATGGTGACTCACGCCTTTAATCCCAGAAAGCAAGCCTTGAATCCCAGGGAGTGGTGGTAAAAAGCAGAAAGGTATATAAGGCGTGAGGACCAGAAACTAGAAGCATTTGGCTGGTTAAGCTTTTAGATGGTTAAGCTTCAGGCTTTCGAGCAGCAGTTCAGCTGAGAGCCATTGGGATGAGGACACAGAAGCTTCCAGTCTGAGGAAACAAGACCAGCTGAGAAGTTGGCCAGGTGAGGTTAGCTGTGGCTTGTTCTGTCTCTCTGATCTTCCAGTGTTCACCCCAATACCTGGCTCAGGTTTGATTTTATTAATAAGAACTTTTAAGATTCCTGCTACAGGAGATGGCTTAGTGGGGGAAGTACCTGCTATGAAAACATGAGGACTGAGTTTGAATCTCTATAGCACTCATGTAAAAAGTCAGGTGTGAAAATACAAACATCTCTAATCCCAGGGCTGGGAGGAGGTGGGGACAGAGACAAGTGCATTCCCTGGGCTCCCTGGCCAGCCTGTTTAACTGGAAGAGCAAACTTCAAGTTTGGTAAGGGACTATCTCAAAGAGTAAGGTGGGGAACAGCAGAGAAAGATGCCTAAAGTTGAGCCCTGGCCACACGGAGACAGGCGAGCACAGCTGCCCCTTTGCACACACACCCATACCCTAAATGTGACATGAGTGGCACACAGTATTGTAGACGAATTTCTTTTTTTTTTCAAGTTATGGAAACAAGTCTTTATTAAGTAACTTTTAATATCAGAAAAATAAAACTCTTATAATTCTCTTTACAGCAAATATATAATATCAGTGCTTTGGCCATCTTAAGTTAAAGGCCCTTTATATGGTTTTAAACTTTACTCAAATTGAATTTATAATCCCTATGACTTCCCTACATATACATAACAAAAGAGTGTAGTAAAATTAGCAAATCCTAAACTATATTGATAATTTATCATTCTTAGTTTGTGGTTTTTAGAAACAGTACACGCACCTAATATATGTCGATTCCTTGGCTTATTAGTTGCAGTGTACAATGCAACAAAATACAAAACACATGCTTGGTGACATTCGTCCATATCTACAAGACGGCAGCTAGAGATTAGGATTCAATACTGACAATTAACTATCATACAAGCAATTGGCATTACATCATAATATGCCATCAAGGCAACTTTTTTTTATACTGAAAAATCAAAATAAAAACTGTTATTTGTAAACTTTATATGAAATATTGGTGATTCAGTTGAGTATTATTCAGTTTCCATGAGACTGTAGGTTTTCTGTAGTTTTTGTTGTTGTTGAAATCCAACTTTAGACCATGGTGGTCTGATAGAACACAGGAGGTTATTCCAATTGTTTTGTATCTGTTGAGATTTGTTTTGTGGCCAAGTATGTGGTCGATTTTAGAGAAGGTTCCATGAGGTGCTGAGAAGAAGGTATATTCTTTTTTGTTAGGATGGAATGTTCTGTAGATATCGATTAAGTCCATTTGAGTCATGACATCAGTTAAGTCCTTTATTTCTCTGTTAAGTTTCGATTTGGGAGATCTGTCCAGTGGTGAAAGTGGAGTGTTGAGGTCTCCCACTATTAATGTATGGGGTTTTATATGTGATTTAAGCTTTAGCAATGTTTCTTTTACATATGTGGGTGCCCTTGTGTTTGCGGCATAAATGTTCAGAATTGAGACTTCATCTTGGTAGATCTTTCCTGTGATGAGTATGTAATGCCCTTTTTGATCTCTTTTGATTGATTTTAGTTTGAAGTCTATTTTTCTGGATATCAGGATGGTTACACCCGCTTGTTTCTTAAGACTTTCTTGGAAAGTCTTTTCCCAGCCTTTTATTTTTAGGTAGTGTCTATCTTTGAATTTGAGATGTGTTTCTTGTATGCAGCAGAAAGATGGGTCCTGCTTTCGTATCCATTCTGTAAGCCTATGTCTTTTTATAGGTGAATTAAGTCCATTGATATTGAGGGATATTAATGACCAGTGATTGTTCATTCCTGTTATTTTTTGGTGGTGATGTGTGTGTACTTCTCTTTGTTGGGGTTTACTGCTATGGCTTTATCTATTGCCTGTGTTTTCGAGGGTGTATCTGACTTCCTTAGGTTGGAATTTTCCTTCTAGTGCTTTCTGTAGGGCTGGGTTTGTGGATAAGTATTGTTTAAATCTGGCTTTGTCTTGGAATGTCTTGTTCGTTCCATCTATGATGATTGAAAGTTTTGCTGGGTATATTAGTCTAGGCTGGCATCCATGGTCTCTTAGTGTCTGCATTACATCTGTCCAGGTCCTTCTGGCTTTCAAAGTCTCCATTGAGAAATCGGGTGTTATTCTGATGGGTTTGCCTTTATAAGTCACTTGGCCTTTTTCCTTTGCTGCTCTTAATATTCTTTCTTTATTCTGTACGTTTAGTTGTTTAATTATTATGTGGCGAGGGGACTTTTTTGGGGGGTCTAGTCTGTTTGGTGTTCTATAGGCTTCTTGTATCTTCATAGGCATTTCCTTCTTTAAGTTGGGAAAGTTTTCTTCTATGATCTTGTTGAATATATTTTCTGTGCCCTTGAGTTGGTATTCTTCTCCTTCTTCTACCCCTATTATTCGTAGGTTTGGTCTTTTCATGGTGTCCCAAATTTCTTGGACATTTTGGTTCATGACTTTGTTGGCTTTAGTGTTTTCTTTGACTGATGAATCTATTTCTTCTACTGTATCTTCAACGCCAGAGATTCTCTCTTCCATCTCTTGCATTCTGTTGGTTATACTTGCATCTGAAGTTCCCGATCATTTACTCAGATTTTCTATTTCCAGCATTCCCTCTGTTTGCGTCTTCTTCATTTTTTCTATTTCCCTTTTCAGGTCTTGGACTGTTTCCTTCATTTGTTTCATTACTTTTTCTTGATTTTCTTTCAGTACTTTATTGTTTTCTTCCAGGACTTTATTGATTTCTTCTAATTTGTTTGCCCTTTCCTCTAGTTGTTTACAGCGTTCTTCCCATTTTTTTGTCTTTTTCTCTACACAAGCCTCCACCTTCTTCATGATGCCATTCATAAGGCTGTTTTCCTCTGCTTCTTCCAATTTTTGATGTTCAGGTCTAGGTGCTGGAGGAGGGCTAGGTTCTGGTGATGCTGTATTGCTATTCATTTTGTTGTATGTATTTCTGCCTTGACGTCTGCCCATCTCCTTGTGGTTCGTTCTTGGTCTTATCAGCACACTTGGTTCAGACTGAACTGACAGATTCAGGAAGTCTTTCTCTCTTGTCCAGATGGGAGCTCTCTTGTCCAAATGGGAACTCTGGGGCAGGATGGGAGCTCTTGTCCAGAAGGCAAGTCCGGGGCAGGATGGGAGCTCTTGTCCAGACAGGAAGTCCGGGGCAGATTGGGCGCTCTTGTCCAGAAGGGAAGTCCAGGGCAGGATGGGCACTCTTGTCCAGAAGGGAAGTCCCGGGCAGGATGGGAGCTCTTCTCTCTCTCTCTCTCTCTCTCTCTCTCTCTCTCTCTCTCTCTCCTCCAGAATGGAAGTCCAGGGCAAGATCGTGTTTGCCTATCTTAATCTAGCAGTGTGGTTTCATTTGTGAGTTCATTATAATAAAGTGATTCCTTCCAGGTCACAGTCCATCGCTGAAGAAAGGGAGGGCAGGAGCTCGGGTGGAATTGAAGGCAGGATTCCTTGCTGCTCTATACAGCATTACCTCCAACCAGGGAGCTCACTCACAGCCAAGGACGTGCAGTAGGAACCATCCAGAAACACTGCTTGCCGGCTTGCTCCCTGTAGACGAATTTCTAAGTGGTTTTATTAAATAAAAAAACATGGAGCCAAATATAGGGGCGAAAGCCTTAGATTGGGGAAATAGGGGAAGCCACCAGCCGACCTTACCTCACCAACTCTGCAGCTTCCAAATGCGAGTTACTTTCTGTCTACCCAGGTTTATATGCCTTACTGTTCTGCCCTCTCATTGGCTATCTTAGCCCAGCTACCTCACTTCCTCTTCCTACACAGCTCCGTCACTTTCTGTCTATACAGACCTCTAGGCCTCTATGGTTGGTACTGGGATTAAAGGCGTGTGTCACCATGCTTGGCTCTGTTCCCTAGTGTGGCCTTGAACACACAGAGATCCTGCCTGTTAAGGGATTAAGGGCATGTGCTGCCTGACTTCTTGTTTACTTAAAATGGCTTGCTATTTCCACTGATCTCCAAGCAAACTTTATTAAAGCACAAACAAAATGTCACTACAGTATAGGCTCTCCCATGACTGTATACTCTTATTAACAGTATCCACAGGAGGAGGAAATGAAAAAATTTTTAGAGCATTCAAACACCATTTGAACTAGTACAGTGGTACACTTCTGTACTCACGAAGGGTGCCAGTGGCTGTGACAGGAGGATTGTCAGTCAAGACCAACTGGGCTACATTGTGAGACCGTGTCTCAAAATACAAGCAAAACCTTCATTAGGAAGAGAGGTAGCAGTGAGTCAGGAAACACCCAGGATGCTGTTTTCTAATCACCAGAGAGACACTTTCCTTTTGGTTTGGTTTTGGAAGCCACACTCCCAAGTGAACCCATTTTGCAGGTGTGGTTTCACATGTCTGTCACTAAGTGGCGCTGTTGAAAAGCTTTGTGGACAGACCTTAGTTATTTGTAAATTTAGGTGGCTTTCTCAGGCAGCTTTATCAAATGCCTGTTCTTCCACTCTGCTGCTTAAAGGTCTTGCCCAAGCTGTTATGGGTCTCCAGATCAAGTTTTATCTTTAAACTCTCTATGTGCATTTGTGCTTGACTGTCATGCTGGAAGGAAAATTGAGGCATAGAAGGATGCCTCAAAGTCTCTTAAGTTCTCACTTTCGGTAGTATAGTCCATAATTTTTTTAAAAAAACATCATTTTGTTGGACTAGACAGATGGATCAGTGTTACAGGCATGAGGACCTGATTTCAAATACCCAGAACCCACAACAAAGCCAGGCACAGTGATACACATCTGCTATCTCAGTCACAGTGAGATGGGACGCAGAGACAAGAGATCTTCTGGGGGATAGATCTAAGAGGGCTATGTGGAGAAGTTCCAGGCCAGGGAGAGATTCTGCTAAAAAAGTAGAAGGTACCTAAGGACTGACACCCAAGGTTGTTCTTCGACCTACATGACACGGACATACACAGACAGACACATGTGTACACAGACAGACAGACACAGACACATTTTTAATTTTGTCTCATTACTAGATCTGTTGTCTCGACCCCATGCAGCTGCTTTCATGTGATTAAAATGGAAAATCAAAGGGTTTTTGTGTTGTTGTTGTTTTTATTTGCTAATTCCAAATGGTAACAAGTAAAAGGTTCAGACTATACAACAGTAAAGGGGTGAGACTAATGGAATGTGTACTGAGGTATTTCTCCCTCAAAGCAACCCTTGGTCCACACCATGCCACTAACATGCAGGGCAGGCTGAAAAGCCTGATTAATAGGAGAATTTGGCAAGCTTGTGCCGAGCTTGGTCCAGCCTTGAAAGCCGCCTCTTCAGGAATTTCCTTTTCTCTGTAATGTCACTCCGTTCAGCCAGGAGCCAGCTACAGTTAGTCTTGTCCTGTAAGAGCTGAAGCATGGCTTTCTCCATGTCTTCCCCAAAAGTTTGCAGAATAAAGTACTGGATGATCAGAGGGACCTGTCTCCCGATGCTTCTTCGGCACTCCTAGGAGGAGGGGTTGAAAGTGGAAAGAAAGATCTGTGAGTGCCAGAGGGACCCAGGTTTCCAAGGGAAGAGACCCTAACAGGTGCACAGAACTGGCCTGGTCTCAGCCCCTTTAGTATACAGACAGATCATGACCTGGCTAAGTATCAGGTTGCTGGGACTCTGCCCTACCAGCTTCCTTGATCATCAGATAGATGGACCTTCAATAGAAAGGGGTAAAATGAGCCAGAAGATGGTCCACGCATAGCCCAACTCCATTTCCAAGTGGCAGATCTCTGCTGACAAAATCGCTCAATTGTCTTCATCAAGTCCCCAATTTTGCAGCCCCAGGGAGCAGGGCTGTACAAAGTCCCTGGCAGAGCTCTGAATTACTTGCTTGAGAGGAGTCGGTCTCCACCTGAGAGGATTTTCTCCCAGCCCTACAGTCTGCCCAACTCTCCCCATACTTAGACAGGATGGTGTCCTAGAAATTCAGTAAAAGGTGGTTCTACAAGGCAAGTACTTCTCTGGAACTCAGTTTCCTTTCCTAGGATGCAGGGATACTATGAGCATAACCCTGTGGGGATGGTTAAGCCAATTCACCATATCAAAGGACACCAAAGTATAAGAAAGTCAGACAGATCACAAGTACCTAGTTGACAGTTCAGGGACATATTGCAAGATTACAGCAGCATAGTTGTAGTTTAGGACCAAAGACAGCTGGAATGTGGCTCATCTCCAAATGGAAGTGGAGAAGAGAGACATCAGGGATGCAGGGGTCCACTCAGGAGGCATGAGGACCTCAGACACCCAGATGTGGACACCTTAGTTGAGAGCAGGGCCACAGCTGGAAAGAAGGACTGATACCTGCAGACACAAACCCCTCACTTCTGCTACAACATGCAGGGAACTTGACATTATGCTCTGAGAAATAAGCCAAGCAGGAAGGACAGACACTCAGTGATGTGATTACATTGGAAAGAGGTCCCTAGAGTGGTCAGACTCCCAGATAGAAAATAGAAAGGGGGCAGCTGGGGGTGAGAGAGAACTAGAGTCAGTGTTTAGTAGAGATAATCTTGTTTGTGGCAGATGAAAAGTTGTGGAAGGGCACGGTGGCAATGGAAAGGTATTTAATGTCTCGAAATTGTTGCACCAAACAGTAGTTGAAGCGGAACAGTTTGTGTTGTGCATGCTTTACCACAATCAAAGCAAAGAAGATTAAATAAGCCATGGGGTGCCAAGAGGCCAAGCTGCACGGTGCACTAGACACAGGAGCTGCCCCAAGGGACCACACTGCCTTTGACATACTGAAAAGCCACCAAAGAAGCACCACAGAAACTAGGAAACTCAGTGTACAGGTCGGAGGTACATATGGACACAGGGCCTTTCAAAGTGAGGGTCAGAACATTCTCTAAGGACACATGCCAATACCTGAGGCTGCTTGATGCTAAAGGCTAAGAAATCCAGGTAGGTTAGAGGTGTAAGGAAATTCTGAAGCACTTTAGAGTCTGAGGCAGGAGGACCCCCAGGAGTTTGAGGCCACCCTGGGTCTTGTGAGTGACAAAGCAGCCTAGGCTACAATATGAGACCTCACCTTAAAAAAATTAATTAATAAAGATCTGAAGTGACTTAAGAGGTACAAGAAGATCCTAAGAACTTCGCTAAAGCCCCAGAAGGCAAAGTCTGTTTAAAATACAGCAAACACAAGGCTGAGAAAATAGCCCTCCCACTACTGAGCTGGGTCTGTCTAGGGCTAGTGTTGTAGAGTGGTTTATGAAGATGGAGAATCCCAGCTGACCCTGGGAGGTAACCCACTTTGTCACTGAGGCCCCTGGCAGTCAGTTAACATTCCCTGTGAGGAAGGAATCCCCCTGGCCTCAGGAATCTGCTGATGGATACTTTACACACATACCCCTACACAGAAAAGTGCACTGAAGGAAAGGAAGTGGCCTGGAAGTCCAGCTCTGGGCCATTCCCACACTTACCTCATAGTAGGCATTCAGGTGCTGGCTCATCTCAGTGGTAGACAAGTCCTTTTGAGGAGATTGAGAGTTAAATTGAAAGTTAAAATTATTCTTTTCTTTCTCGGCTTCTTTCTCTTTGACCTCCTTCAGGGCTCCCCTGTAAATTTGGTCCTGGCAGTAGACAATCTGCTCTATCTGGAAGTGAAGTCGGATCAGCTTTTCAGCTTTTTTTTCTTGATTTAATCTGATGTCTTCAATTTTGGACTGCAGAGAGAGAAAAGCAGTCAACAGTTTGTTGTGGGATATTTTACACTATGTGAAGATGTGTTGTTGCGATTGATGTAATAAAGAGCTGAATGGTCAATAGCTAGGCAGGAAGAGGTTAGGCAGGACTTCCAGGGACAGAGAGAACTCTGGGAAGAAGAAAAGCAGAGTTGCCAGCCAGACTTGGAGGAAGCAGAATGGGCAGTACAGAGATTAGGTAACGCCACATGGCAGAATGTAGATTAATAAAAATGGGTTAGTTTAAGTTATAAGACCCAGTTGGGAAAAAGCCTAAGCTAATGGCCAAGCCTTCATAAGTAATAAGTCTCTGTGTCTTTATTTGGGGGCTGGAGATCCAAAGATATTTCGACAAGGAAGCTTGCTACAACAACCATCAAGAAACACATGATACAGAGTAAAACACAGGATGCCTGATGTATCCACATGCATCAGGCCACCCAACAAGAACAAACACAGGTATCACCTGGGAACAGCCCCTGGACCCCTTGCTCAGCTCATCCATGCCATCCTACCAGCTGAGAGTGGGAACCAGGGGATGCCTGAGCCAGGTGTGGGTTGCCCCATGCTCTGATGGTCAATCTTCAATGCCAATTCTGGATTTAGAATCACTCGGGAGACTAATCTCTGAGCATGAGGGTGTTTCCAGAGAGGTCTGACTGAGTGAAGTGGGAAGACTCACCCTATTGAGGGCAGCCCTGTCCCATGGCTTGAGGTTCTGGACTGAATAAACTGGGGGAGGAGTTGAGCAGCAGCACTCCTCCTTCCCTGCCACGGTGGACTGTGTTCCCTCAAACTGTAAGCCAAAGCCAACCCTTTGTCAGGCTGACCTGGTTACACACTTGTCACAAGTAAACATCTGTCAAGGAATTCAGAGAATGGTAGACAGGTTCCTCCCATTTGATTATGTTTCATGTTCCTGTGGGATAGCTGGAGTAGGTTCACCTCCTCTACATGGAACCATGTTCCTGCCTAACAAGGCTCTTCGGGCTGTGGGTTTCAATGTCTCACCTCTGAATTCATCCCCGCTCCCCTCTTTCCCTGTTGGATTTACCTTGGCAGCTCTGCAGAGGTTAAAAAATTCACCAAAATTGTTTAATGAAACCTTTGTGAAGGCGGATCGGACCATGTCTGATAAAAGAGGAAAAAAAAGTTCAATATTGACAAGACCATCTGTATTCTGTATAGACTGGGGGGGGGGGCGGGTGAGATTAACATGGCTAAAAACACATTCCCTCTCTGTTCCCTCTCTGCCTTATCCTCTTCTCCTTGTGAAGAGGAGGGTGTGCTCTGTGACTGAGGAACTCTGCAAGTACCTGAAACTTCACCATCTCTGGGCATGGATTATGCCCTGTATCCTAACAGGGAGGAATTTTCTAACAGAGGATATTTCTAGCAAATTATAAATACAGCAATTCCTTGTCCAAAACCTGTTACCTCCATCTCATTCCTGTCTGTGAGCACTAAGTGCCCAGTTATCTGCTTGAAATAAACCCAAGAGCCATTTACAGAAGTTGGAAAGTTAACTTTAGTTCCTTTACTCTGGAGAATTTACTTCTGTCTGTGAAAGTTGTCATATAAACTACTAAAGCCTAGATGTCATGCAGGACAGGTTGTAGACATGATCACCTGATACAAGCCAGGGCACAACCTCTGGTGTTGATCTTCAGGCATTGTTTAACTTTTCTTTTTAAAGAAGCAGGGTCTCTAACTGGCCTGGAGCTTGCAAGTAGGACAAGGTAGCTATCTAGTGAGCCTCAGATCCACCCCCAACATCCCCTTCTCTGGCTCCACAGTGCTGGGATTATAAGTGCATGCTACTACATTCAGCTTTTTATGTGGGTTCTAGGGATTAGACTCAGGCCCTCATGCTTTCAAGGCAAGCTCTTTACTGAATGAGCTACCTCTACAGTCCCTGTGATCTGAAATCTTGTGTCATCCTCCCCATTTTTGCATTTAAAAAAACTTCCATTTGCCTCAGTCTCCTCACATACATCCAACGTTGACGGTAGTGCCAGGTTCTCTGCTGCAACTCTGTGATAGGAGGGAGGTACACCCCAACCCCACAGTGACAAAGCCTTTGCCTCCTCTCTAATTTCCACATAGTACACAATGTCAGTGAAGCCTGTTCCCAAGTTTTGTGATGACCAAACCTGAGGAGAGGTTTGCAAGAACCCAGATTTAGAGAGGGCCAGCCAAGGGAATGGGAGGCCTCTGAGTGCTGCTGTATTGAAGGACATTCTTTAGGGACCTGTGGGGTCTATGCCAATTCCAGGTAGCCAAAAGTGCAGGAGATAGTCAAGGTTCGACCGGGGCTTCAGCTAGACAGAAGTGAGTTGGCACTGAGCCCAGGAGACAGGGCTACTGTCCATCCGGGGAACAGAGAGGAAACTGAGGCAGGACCACTGCAATAGGTAAGGACCAGCTTCACTTTGCATGAAGGACTCTGGCTGTGCTCTGGGGGAGATCCAGCTAAGGGCCTAGGAGGTTAGGTGACTCTGCCCTCTGACAGCAAATCCCTGTGCCCACAGGGTCAGAATGGACTGACTTCCTGAACACCGCAGTGTCACCTAGAGCACAGAAACCCTGCCACCTACCTAGACCCAGCCCTAGAGGACAGCTCTGAGGTATAGAACTGCCTTTGCTACTGATGGTCTCCTGCAAGGGTGACAGCAGCATTCCTCAGTGACATTCTGTGACACTCACCAGTGACCCTGTGCAGCACTCCCCAGTGACTCAGTACAGCACTCACCAGTGGCCTTGTGTAGCAAGACCACAGCAGGCTCTTCTAGGGCTTTTATTTGGTTTTTGATGATACTCTCAAATGTCTTATAGTTCACAAACCCTGGCAGCTCCCGGCCACGATACTGGTTTTCAAATACTTGGATCTGGCTGTCTATCTCAGCAGAACCTAGAGTTGAAAGAATTGTTTTTATAGAAATGGTCTTTCAGGGTTTTTCATTTTGTTTTGTTCTGTTTTTTTTTTTTTTTTAATTAAACCAACTCTGGTCTTTCTGAAAAGATGAGTACCTAGAAAAAAATGAAGTGAGATAAATGTTAATATGTTCCTTTAAAACTACAATAAGAAAACTGTGTCAAAGGTCACTTCCCTCAGTTGAGACAAAGTGGAATTCAGAGCCAGAGGCCACAGCAGAATATCGCAGGAGGAAACCAGGGGAAATATGATCTCAAAACAACCTTGTGTATGAGGGTTTATGAGTCAATTTGGATTTGACCAGAGAAGAAGGGTCAAAGCACACTGTGGGAGGAGGCAGCGCGGGAAACAGATAGGCACCTGGAGGGCCCAAGTGTGAAGCAAGATGCTTAGTTCCTTCTCCTTACTTCCAGAACAACTTCTGCGAGAGACATCCCATCAGGAGCAGAGCCTTCCCAAGGCTTCCCTTGTAGACCTGACTGTGTGCTATCCTGTCTCAGGAGGGAAAGTGGTCCCATAGGAAATGTTTATGCTGGCATTTCACATGCAATAGAACTCATTTACAGCAGGCATGCCAGTGACTTCTAGGCCTATGCTATGACCCAAAGTGCCTGTGTCTGACACCTTCCTGTCACCTTGAGGAACTGTCACTCTCATGGAAATCAGCCCCTTCTACTCTTCCTTCTCTCCAGCCCTGTAGTTGTGGCTGTGCTTTTTGTCTACCCATGTCTACCCAGACCACATACCATGTTTATCTGCTCTCTATTCAAGGAGCATAGATTCTTCTAAAAGCCATGAATTAACTAGGGTGATCAACCTGCATTTTTTTTCTAAATGTCCCTAAGAATCAAGAATAGATAGCTTGGGTTCTGTGACTCAAAGCAGAGCAAATGTGGCTCTTGTGTCCACACTCCTGCCATTCCTATCCCCTGCATAACACTCCAAAGTCTCCCCCAAATCCCAGGTCCATGATGATCCCTGGAGTCACTGCTGTGGAAGGACCATGTCCTCCTAGTTCATAAGATGAACTTCATCCCTACTGTGCTGGCACTGAAAGGTGGGCCTTTAAAAAGTGACCAGGACATACTGGCCTCACCCTCAGAGATCAGATGTGTGTCCTCTGAACAGAGGCCAAAGGAAACTGGTTCTCATCCTTCACACATGAGGACCAGGCTAGATGATACCATCTTGGGAGCAGAGATGGAGCCCTCACCAGACACCTTGTCTTCTGGTGCCTTGACTTTGAACTATGGGCAAGACCTTTTGCCTGTAGCCCACTGCACATGGTTCCTGCCTAAAAGAACCACCTAGAGACAGTTCCTTACACATCAAAACATCAAATTCAAGTTACTGAAGTGTCAAGTACACCAATCCAAATGGACACTCACTTTTTTTGAAATGTTCCTCAATATAATTATCCCAATTAAGAAACTCCTTTCTCAGGTTGGTAAACAGTCGACTGCCTCCCCCTGGTACAGTTTCCTGTGCTTGTACCAAAGCAGTGATATCCTTATTGAAGGCATTAATTTTCTGTGAAGGACATAATTCACATACAAGGATCAGTAGAGGACATGCATACCCAGACAGTTGTTGAGCCACATGAAATACTGGGGATAAATGTCTTTGGCATCAGGAAATCCTGCCCCTTCCTCCACGCTCCCCAGTCCCCACCAGCTCCACCCTGCTTTCATCCACTAGTGCTGGTCCTTTTCGTAATACTAGTGGTGCACAGAATGTTTTTCTATCCATCTTAGAAGACTGAAAACAGAAGAGATCCCTGTAAGATGGTGATGTAGGAATCCTCCATGGGAAGTCACAAGTGATACCCACATCAATCAGAAAGAACATTCTCTCGTTACTGTCTTCTGGTATATCTATGCCGTACTTCTGTAGCTTTTCGATTGTACTCTGGTAACTCTTATTTATTTGATTTTCCAATACTGGGAGCGATTTCTGAAGTAGAAAAAAAACGAGCGGGTCATAGACATACAGACTGGGAATGCAAAGGAGGACCAAAGCTACTCAGAAACATGGCTGTGACAGAAGCTGTTCATTCCCTCACTCTGTGTGGACCTTCTCATGGCTCCTTGGCAAGTGAGCCTTGGCAGACAGGATTTCCTGCCCATGCCTGTGACATTCTGACAGCCTCTGAAGGCTTTCTGGGTGCACAGTAGTGCTTCAGAGGAACTCTCTCCACCCAGGTCTACCTATACACCTGCCCTGGGCATACAACTCTGTTAAAATTGCCCACTGCACATGGTTCCTGCCTAAAAGAACCACCTAGAGACAGTTCCTTACACATCAAAACATAAACTCTCTGCAGCGACACTCCACATAGTGCCTAATATAGCTTCTGAGACAAAACAGCTGGACTAACATGAGACCCTTCAACTCTTGTGTTATTTTCAACAGATCTCTACAACTTGCTGTCCCCAGGCATCTCAAGGCACAGAGTTCAGCAAGAACAGGCCTGCCTCTGTCTGCATCAAGGAGGTCCAGAGAGGATCACTCAAGATCATGGTGCTCTGCAGGTGCCCTGATCTCCACCTGCATCCTGGGAGCTGCAAGAAGACCTTGAACACAGGAGGAGCCCAGGGGAAGATCACTGCTGAGTTTCTTTCCACAGCCAGTCCTCATGCAGATCTAGACAGTAAATCCACATGTGCTGAGTATTCTCAACACTCCAGGTGGAGAACTAAGGTGGTTTGAGATGCAGACTCCACCAGGTCAAAGAAAAGTGAATATGGCTTCTATCTGAAGAGCCCATTTGAACTCAAGCTCTTGAGATCAGCTCCAGAATGAGGGGCTCACAGCTATGCCACCCAGAACCTAAGGGTGACAGCAGCAGAAACCAGCACAAAGCCTTCTGTTGCTGGAGTCACCAACTCCCAAATACCACATGTCTGTACAAAGAGATCTTGACCAGCTTGTGGGCCCACGGACCCTCCCAGTCCCAGCTCAGGTTTATGAAGACACAGTCACCCAGGCTTACACAGATGTGTGAGATGAGCTCCGAGGTCAGTCTCTCTGCCAAAAGGGGCACTGTGGCCTTCCCATCCTCCAGAAGAATGCTGAGGGAACAAGAGAGAGGATCCCATAAGACTTGGCCAGAACACAAGTCTGCAGCCTGCTGTGGGGAGGCCAGGGCCAGTCTGGGTACTTTCAATGAATGGGTATCTTGAGACTGGTACTCATGGAGTACTCAGAGATGGTTTTGTACAATGATACAGGGGAACCAGCTAGGAGATCTACAGTGGGCTGCAGTGATCCTCCTCAGCGTTTTAGTAACCACAGTAAAACCTGTTCTCCACAAAACATATGTACACAACTACAGATATGTTATCATGGCACAATATCCCATTCCATGTGTGATACACATGAATACACATGCACACACCTTCTGTGTGTGATATGTGAGTACACACACACACACACACACACACACACACACACACACACACACACACACGGTTCCATGTATAATACACATTTTGGTATATACACACCCATCCATACAGTCTATACATATTGCTGCAAGCTGCAAGAATATATTATAGAGATTCAGCTATATATAATAAAGCTATACCTAGAAAGATCAAGGAATCTTTTCTGGAGGGAAGTCATTTATCAAGGAATATTTGGTGTTATTCAGCTTTTAATATTCAGCTGTTTCTTACTATGAATTTCTTGTGCACTCATATACTACCAGACCATATGGCAAACAGTATAAGCTTCTCCGACCTACTGCTGATCTACTAGTTAACACCCCTACAGAGCCTAGGAGACAGGTGGACTGTAGATGCATAGCTTTGTTTCTTGTGCAAATGAAGCTCAGACTTTCCTTCCCCAGACTGGCCAAATGGCATTCCAGAACATTTGACTCAGAACAAAGGATTTTTGCATATCTAGGTGTGAGTGAAGACTGGGGCAGAATTCCCGGTCCAAGCAGAGTTGCCTGGCCAGAGGAGAGGAGAACAAGGCAGAGTTTCTGTAGATGGTAGGGCAGAGTCACATGGCCTGAGAGAAAGGAACAAGGTAGATCTTTTGTAGAGAATAAGGATTGGGTCAGGTCAAGAGTAGGAAGAGAAGAAATGAGCATGGATGGAGAAACTGAAGACGAAGATGAGATTGAAAGCATAGGAACTTACTAAAACTATGAGAGGACAGAAAAAGAAGGGACAGAGAGGAACTGAGTGTCACGATGGAACTGAAGCTATATAGAGAAAATTTTGTTATAGAGAAATAAAGTAAACGGACATAAGAAACTAGTGTACATAGATTATTTTCCCTCAGATAACCCCATGCCAGACATAGCATCTTCCCTAGGACACATAAGTACATACACTAATGCATAACACACATGAATATACACAAAGCATATAGATCTAGATCTTCATACACTGGGTAGAGGTACCTCCCTCCAACTCTTACCATTGAGTTCAATCCCTGGATCCACCAATTCTCACAAGTTGTCCTCTGTTCTCCACAGGTGCACTGTGGTGCCTGTGCATGTGCATGCACAAACTACCACCCCCCACCCCCACCACCCCTACCCCTGCCACACACACACACACACACACACACACACTCCTTGGGTGAGGTCTGCTCTTGACCAACAATTTTCAGTGCATGAACGGCATGGTGGAGGCACCTGAAATGTGGGTGCTCCTTGAAGAAAGCTTGCTCCATCTTCAGGGCCTCAGCCAGGTTCAGCTGCTTCTGGACATCCTGTTGACCTCTGCACTTGACTATCATGTAGCCCTTCTTCAGGTGGTACACCAGGTTCCGAACCACATCAATGACCTTGTCCTCAGCCCCTCTGTCCACCAGATCAGGCTTGGTCAAGATCCCTACAAGACAGAGATCAGAGGACATACACCACCCCAAGATAGCAGGAAGTATAGCTCTTACCAGCCACCAGCAGCCAAGGGCTACTTCCCATCTAAGCTGGATAGCTAATGTCATCTGAGAGGAGAGACCCTCAATTAAGAAAGTGCTTCCAACAGCGCATGGTGGCTCATGTATTTAATCCCAGCACGTGGGAGGTAGAGGCAGTTGGATCTCGGCTGTGGATGATTGATTGATAAATAAAATGCTAATTGGCCAGTAGCCAGCCAGGAAGTATAGGCAGGACAAAGAGGGAGGAGAATTCGGGGAAGTGGAAGGCTGAGGCAGGGTGACGCTACCACCTGCCTCAATGAGGAGCAGGATGTAAAGTACTGGTAAGCCACGAGCCATGTGGCAAGGTATAGATTTATAGAAATGGTTTAATTTAAGATATAAGAACAGATAGCAAGAAGCCTGCCATGGCCATACAGTTTATAAATTATAAGTCTCTGTGTGTTTACTTGGTTGGGTCTGAGCAGCTGCAGGACTGGTGGGTGAGAGAGATTTGTCCTGACTGTGGGCCAGGCAGGACCAGGAAAACTTTAGCAACAAATCTCTATGAGTTCAAGGCCAGCCTGGTCTACAACTTGAGTTCCCAGGACAGCCAGGGGTGGAAAAACCCTGTCTCAAAAAACCAAAAAAGCCAAAAAGAAAAAAAGAAAAGAAAGAAAATGCCTTCATAGATTTTTCTGTACGCAATCCTGCAGGGTATTTTCTTAATCAGTGATTGATGGGGAAGGGTCCATTTTGGGTGGTGCCATCCCTGAGCTGGTCATCCTGGGTTCTATAAGAAAGCAGGCTGAGCAAGCAGCACTCCTCCATGGCCTCTGCACCATCTTTTGTCTCCAGGTTCCTACTCTGTTTGAATTCCTGCCCTGACTTCCCTCAGTGATGGATTGTGTCTTAGTTTGGGTTTTATTGTTATGAAGAGACACCAGGACCACAGTAACTCTTACCAAGAAAACATTAATTGAGGTGGCCTGCTTACAGTTTCAGAGGTTCAGTCCATTAGCATCATGATGGGGAGCGTGGCTGGGAGCAGGCAGTCCCTGGATCAGCTACAGGCTCCTTCCTAACACCTCTCCATGGCCACCACCCAGAGAGACAACAATTGTTCATCCTCACACTCTGTGGACCTTACCATGGCTCCTAAGCCAGTGAGTCTCAGCAAATATGGTTTCCTCCCCATGCTTGCCCACCTGTGACTCCTCATGCCTTTCCTACCGGGGAGATGAGATGAAGGGGTCACTTCCTCCCACCTCATGGGATCCTGGGTGTGAACTGAGCTTGGTCCATCTGGATCCAGGGGATGTGTCCCCACTGGCAAACACACACCACTGTTACCTCCCACTCTCCTACCTATGGTCCTGTCCCCTTCAGGGTCCACCTCCTGAGCCATGCTCAGTGCCTCTGTGGTGGCGATGTCCACATTACTGGGGACCACCACCAGGTTGATGGTCTCCTGTTTCTGGATGTATGTCTTGATGAGTCTCTTGATCTGTAAAAATGAGATGGTGACTCCAAGTTATGGAAACAGGATCCAGAGTGAGGTGCTATGACCATCCACTTGCTTCAGGCCCTGGCTTCCATGGACTGCATCCCTCTGTAGTGAATCCTGGTCATCCAGTCTCACTTCCACATCCTCAAGGTCCCTCTTAGACATACCCTTGGACATACTTCAGTGCCCTTTGCATCTCAGTGTAGGTGAGAGTGGAGTCTAGAGTCTCACCTGGTGTCCGATGTCTGTGGGCTGATTGCCTACAGCCACCCTGGTGATCCCGGGCAGATCAATCAAGGTCAGGTCTGGGACATTTGGGGAGCTGACCTCCAGGCTAATGAGCTCACTGCTAATCACCCCATCCCCAGCAATGAAGTTCTGGGCTGGGAAGAGGAAAAAGAAACAGTGAAGTTTAGGGGGCACATTTTAATACAGAGACTTCTGGGGAAATATTTTGTGATTTGGATATGAAATGTTTCTGTTTTGAAAGATTGGTTGTCTGTGAAATTATGTTGGAAGTTCCAGAAGCTTGGGAGATTGGCTCTGACTAGAAGTAGTAGAAAACTATGAGCAGGCCATGGGTGTTTTATATATTATGTCTTCCCCTTTCTGTAGTTCTTTCTGCTTCCTATCCTCCAGAAGGTGAGGAAGTTGCTCTGGGAAGCTATGATAGAAACTTTGCATCAAGTCATTATCTAAAGTTGCCCTGCTCTGCTCAGCAGTCAGTTGTTTGAGATGTTTTCTTCTGACTAAGAATGTAAGCTGGAAACACAAGTGGCATGTGTAACAGGGTTTATTTGTTCCAAGGGCCACTTACCCTAAATGAGGTCATGAAATTAAGTGGCAATGTTCTAGATCCCATAGGCCTAAGTGTGGGAAGGCTCCAAATGTGGAAAGGTATAGTAGAACAGGCCCATAGGGTTGAGGAAATTGGCTCAGAACAGCTGCCAAGGCATGCACATAATGTACTCCTTATGAGCCAACCTGGAGTCTGCCTGAGGGCCTAGCAACAGGAGCTGTCAGAGTTCCTAGTCACTGTCAGAGTTCTTGATGGTGCAGCGTCTGCCTGAGGGCCTAGCAACAGGAGCTGTCAGAGTTCCTGATTGATATCAGAGTTCTTGATCATGCCCAGCCAATGAGGAAAGACCACACAGACTGGGTGCTGGGAGAAGGGTATATATTCCTCGTTATCGAATAAATGAGTTAGTTATTTGCCCTCAATGAATTCCCAGTGTCTGTGCCATTGACACTGTGCCTTTTTACTCCTTCACCCGAGGAAGCCATTAGAATCTGAGCAACAGAAAGACCCAGAAAGTGGAGAGTGTGAACAGTCATGGGGATTCCTTCTCTACTGCCTGACCAGAATGAGGAGCAAATGTGGGCATGTACTTACCTTTATTGACTTCCCCTTCCACCTGTGAGGGGTCTGAGATCTCAACCTCAGTTTTCTTGTAGGTGACCTTGCCTCTCCATTCCTCTCCCTGCTCCAGTTGCTTCAGTTTCAGAACCAGAGGGCACCTGGTAACGATACCTAAGATACAACAGCTATATCAGTCTTGTGCTTTGACGTAAAAGGCCTTAGACAAACGGCTCTCACTATCTCACAACAGTCATCTGAAAACCTAAACCTCTCTGGTCTCGTGCTCGTTGCCCTGATGCCTTAAGTCCAGGCTGACCCCAGGCCTATGTACTGGGGCCTGGATGACTTTTGTGCATTTCTGTTTGAAAGCTACCATCTGCCTGAGGCTCCTTCTTCCTCACAATGTGGTGCCCTGTTATGAAATATTATTTTAAGATGTGTTACATTTGTTTACACTGTGGAACATTTGTTTGAATGATGCAAAGCTGTGTTGCATTCTTTTATGTTGCATTCTTTTATGTTGCATTTGTTTAACTCTGTGAAGCTGTGTCACTTTGCCTGTCTAAAACACCTGATCGGTCTAATAAAGAGTTGAACATTCAATAGCAAGGCAGGAGAGAGGATAGGAGGGGCTGGCAGGCAGAGAGAATAAGTAGAAGGTGAAAAAGAGGGATGTGAAAGCAAGAGAGATTAAGGAGCGAGGAAAGAAGGGGCCAGCCACCCAGCCACACAGCTAGACACAGGGTAGGAGTGAAAGTAAGGTTACAGAAGTAAGAAAAGGAAAAAGTCCAGAGGCAAAAGGTAGACAGGATAATTTAAGTTAAGAAATGCTGGCTAGAAATTAAGCCAAGCTAAGGCTGAGCATTTATAAGTAATAAGTCTCCATGTGTATTTATTTGGGAGCTGGATGGTGGGGCCCCCAAAAGAGTAAAGAATAAAAACAACCAACAACATGCCCCCTTGTGTTTATTAGGTTGTGGGGTTTTTGTTTGTTTGTTTGTTTGTTTGTTTGTTATTTGTCAACTTGAAACAAGCTAGAGTAATCTGGGAAGAGGGAATCTTAATTGAGAAAATGCCTCTGTCAGACTGGGCTGTTGGTAAGCTGTGAGGCCTGTTCTTGACTAATGATTGATATGGGAGGGCCCAGCTCACTGTCAGTGGTGATTCTAGATGCTATAAGAAAGCAGGTTGAGCAAGCCATAAGGAACAAGCCAATAAGAAGCACCCCTCCATGGCTTCTACACACCCACTCACTACATCCCTCAGGATGCTTTACAGTCCCCTATTACAAACTTCTGCCAATTCCTATCTGCCTGTCACATCTCACCTATGTGCTAGAGCAGCTCAGCTCTAGCCTCACTGAGCCATCACTGACCTCCTGGGCCTTGAAACTCAAACAGCATCCCTAACCTGAGCACCAACTTTTATGTGCTTAGGGGATGGGCCATTCACAGGAGGGGCTCAGAAAGAAATCATGCATATATAGTTCCGGGTACTTAGTCGATCTTCTACAAACTGAGGTTCCACAAATGCACAATGGGACAGTGCAATGGACTGAAAGCAGCCCCCACCCCCAGCACATAGGTTCAGCCCCAACACCTACAGTGACTGTTGGATACAGAGCCTGAAAAGAGGTAACTTAGGCTGAAGGAAGGCTTAAGAAGCTGCATGGGTGGAGCCCTAACCACTGAGACTGGTGCCCTTGTGAGAGGAGGAAGAACCTGCAGGGCTGCTCAGAGGAAAGGCTGCCCACATTCAAGGAGGAAGACCACCTTGACCTTCATTCTGCTGTGTGCCCAAACTGGGAGGGATCTGTCTCTATCTTTGAGCCCCAGGTCCACAGCCTAGCAAGGCAATAAGCATGAGCTCTCACCAGTGCCTCTGGGGAGGGCCACTCCTGACAGTGCTTCCAGCACAGAGCTCTTCCCTGAGCTCTGGTCCCCAATGACTGCAATGGCAGGCAGGGCCAGGTCCTGCTCCACACCCAGGGCCCGCAGGGAGTCGATGAGGTCAATGCAGGGCCGTACCTTCTCCTCATACTGCCTGCAGAGGTTGTTCATAGGCTCCTAGATGAGGGCAAAGCAAGAGTGAGGTCATGGAAGTGCTCCAGCAAAGACTGCTGGTTCAAGCACAGTTATACACAGTGTCAGAATCCTCAAGACAGTGATAAATGGACAGAAAATATCTGAAGAAACAATAAATGTGGATTCTTCAATCTTCATGACAACCATTAAGATCTAAGAAAATCAACAAAACTCAGACACAGGACACACAAAATAAGCTCCCGGGCCCATTAGAATCAATCTGTTCCAAACTAGTCATAACAAAAGGTATTTTTTAAACTAACCAGAAAGGAACTGGGAAAAAAAAATGACTCAGAGGTTAAGAGCCCTTTCTGTGTTTGCGGAGGACCCAGGTTCATTTCCAGGCACCCACATCAGGTGGCTCACAACTGCCTGTAACTCAAGTTTTAGGGGATCCGATGCCTTCTTCTGGCATCTTAGGTACTACACCCATGTGGTACACAGACATACAGGCAGGTACACACATATGCACATAAAACAAAAGTAAAATTTTTTAATTAGCTAGAGGAGTTAGAGAGATGGCTCAGCATTTAGAGCACTTGTTTTGGTAGAGAATGTGGCCTTGGTTCCCACCACCCACATGGTGGCTCACAACCATCTGTACCTTACAGGGGATAAGACCTCTCTCTTGTAACTTCGCAGGTATCAGGCATGTATATGATACCCATATACACATCCATACAAAATGCACACAAAACAAAATTACACACACATATATATATATATATATATATATATATATATATATATATATATATATATATATATATAAATTTTTCAGGTTGAGAAACAGCTGGTTTTTGTTTGTTTGTTTGTTTGATCAGAAAGAATGCAAGTGTAGAGACAATGGGGTGACTTTTACTTACTTATTTTTTTAGTGCTGGGAATTGAACCCAGGTGTTCATACATACTAATCACATGCTGTACCACTGAGCTATATATCCATTCCACAGTGTTTTAGGATTGTTGACAAAACACCACCATTATATATCTAGTAAAAGTATCTTTTGAAATGGAAGAAGGATTTATATACAAATGGCTTTGGAGTATGCTTGGGACTAGTGTGTCTCCAAGCCAAAACTTGGCAGTTGCTCTATAAGCATCCTATAAGAAGCCCTGGTGCTGTGGAGCAATCTTTTTGTACACAGTGAATATTTGTTGCTCTCACTGGTTTACTAAAGGGCTAATTGTCCAATAGCTAGACAGGTAGAGGTTAGGTGGGACTTGCAGACAAAAAGAGAGTGCAGGGAAGAAGGAGGGTGGAGTCACCATGCAGAGGAAGCAGGAGATGACTATGCCATGCTGAAAAAGGGTATAGCCACATGGTAGAGCATAGATAAAAAAATATGGGTTAATTTAAGTTGTAAGAACTAGTTAGTAACAAGCCTAAGATATCAACTGAGTGTATATAATTAATAATAAGTCTCTGAGTTGTTATTTGGGAGTTAGCAGGCAGGACAGAGAAAACTCCATCAACATCATGGAGGTTTATATTTTATGTTAAGGGTTATTAGCTAGTTTGGATTTTTTTTTTTTTAATGAGACAGGATGAGAATTTATGTTAGTGGTAAATATTGAGGAGGGCACTGATCACTTTGCACATGTTCTTTCTCCTCAACCACCTGATAGGGCAGTTAGGACAAGTACTGCTGTTGTTACTAAGCCCTATAATATAGACAAGAGAACTGAGAGTTGGAGAGTTAAGCAACATTGCCAACATGTAATGGCCAGTTTGGGATTCAAGAAAAGCAACCTATTGCCTGCCCACTCTTAATTTCTCTCCTGAGTTGCTTTCATGAAATCATACATATGATTACTAAATACAGATTTTTCAGATAGCAAAATACAAACTCATCCCCAGCACACCAGCACTGCAGGAACTGTGAAGAGCATTCTATGTGCAAAGAATCCTGAATCCATACAGTGGATCAGAGGCCACAAGTGCTGACTGCGATTGTTTCTTATGAATTTCTTACATTTCTTATTGACCATCCTTAAATTATGCCTGAGCACAAACAACAGCAATGCATTGTGGGGTTTCTGGTTAATAGAAAATAAAGACTATGACAGATAGGATAGAGGGTGACAATGGCACATGGAATCATATTTCTATTAATTATACCTCCTACACTTTAAGTGGTATTGTGTCACCCAGAGGTGCTATCTATATGCCTATCAAATTTTTAAAAGGACATTAAAAACACCAAAAGAACAGTCAACAGAGAGCATGGGATGCATTCACAAAATATAGTGTTTAATCAAAAAGGTGAAGAATATTAGGAAAGGGGGAAACAAAGACTTAACACAGAAAGCAGACAACACTGTGTTCTCAACCAATAACATCACATTAAATATAAATGGCTTAAATTTTGCTCCAACAGGCAATTGCTCTAAAAGGACCACAAAGAGAGAGGCGGCAGTCCCTGCTCCCAAGATGTTGAAAAAACAGCAGCAACAGGGCATGGTGTTCTTTACAATGACAGAACAGGAATTAGTAGAGCAGAATACACCACCCTGAAAGTCACCACATGGAACTGGTGTAGACAAGGTGCAAAGGCATCGCGGGGGAAGCAAGGACTTTTTGCCAAGCTGTGTTGGATCACTTCACTATATCATACTTAAAATACTAAACATCTGGTTGAAAAAATGCAAATATAAGCCATAGTCAAGGAATAAATATTTACAAAGCATATATCTGAGCAAAGATGTGTACCTGAATATATAAAGAATTCTCAAAACTCAACAATAATGAAAATATACCACATGGCTTCTCTAGGGAGGTAATGTCACAATAAGACCTCACAGGGGTATAGCTGGAGACTGAACCATATAGAGAAGAAACAATATATCACATTCAGGACTCAGGGCTCTGCCAGTCCCCAATAATCCCCTGGTTTCCCAGATTACAACTGACAACCTTCAGTGAAGGAGATGGATAGGTCATTGTTCTCACCTTGGCCCAAGCAAAGTAAGCAGCTGACCAAGATCTCCATCTTGCCCCAAAAAGATAAGAAAGCCACTTTATCAGAGAAGCAGCAGCCTTCACTCCTTTCTAGCACCCACACCCACTCCTAGCTGCAGATACACCCTTTTCTCAGGTGGACACAGCTCATGTCCTATGGAGAACGGCTTTTGGTAGCAGCTCACCATTGCCTGGCTGTGCTTAGAAGCATCAGGACATTTAGGTGGTTTCAGGTGCTTGGATGCAGAAGTCAGCTCTTTGTTATTGGCTTTCCATGAAGAACTCATCCTCCTATTTTTCCAGGTGGATTTGTGGTGGAAGTAAAGGGTTTGATTCAGAGTAGTCTCAAAGCACTGCACTAAGAAACACAAAAGAGACACCAATATGTGGAACTGCCCTTCCTTCTCTGTCCACACCAGTGGCCTGTGCTTCCAGCAGCACCTCATCATTTCCTCTTCTGGGTGAGATGCATTCTTTGTGTGAGTTAGGAGGGGGATCACAAAAGAAGAGTGATTCTAAAGGTACTCATCAAGTCTGTCAATCAAAGAATTTTGTCCAGACACAACTCTTACCTCCCCTGCCTTTGGAAAGACCTCAGATTTCCAAAAGATCTGACTCTAGAATGAAGACCCCCTTCACCCTCAATTTGAGCCTTGTCCATTGTTCCATGGTTGTCTCAGTTGGTCTTATTGCACCATCAGGTGCAATCACTGGTCCCCAGGGCTTGTGTCCCATGACAAAGGATTCCACATGACCACTCTTCAACAGGATTTGGAGAAGCATTTCCTCTTCTTTTTCTTTCTCTGGTATGTAACCCCTGGGTTGTAACCGCAAACTACAAGTGTGTGCAACTCTTGAGTTACCTTTGAGACTTGATAGATCTCAGAGCAATCTCAGGGGTCACACTCACTTCTGCTCACTCAGTGGCCTGGGTATCTAGTTATACTTTGAATCCAAGAGGAAGACATCTGCTCATCTAGATTTTGTTCCAGTCAAAGGGAGGAAACCCCCAGCTCCAGCACCACCTGTAGCTGGAGAATTTCTCTCCAGCTCCCGCCAAGCCCTGGCAGTCCCACAGCCCACTTATAAAAAAAAAAACACACAGATTCTTATATTATTTAAACTGTTTGGTCTAATGGCTCGGGCTTCTAACTATCTAGTTCTTACATCTTAAATTAACCCATTTCTATAAATCTATACCTTGCCACATGGCTCGTGGCTTACCAGTATCATACATGTTGGTACTCATGGTGGCGGCGGCTGGCAGTGTCTCCTGAATCAGCCTTCCTGTTCCCAGAATTCTCTTCTCTGCTTGTCCCGCTTATACTTCCTGCCTGGCTACTGGCCAATCAGCATTTTATTTATACAGAGTGATATCCACAGCAACCACCCCATTTGTGGTGGATGCACAGGGCATCTGCACCTCCACACCTTCTCCTAACTCTTCTCTACTGCAGAGCCCATTGCAGAGAGACCCTCAGGGCAGCCCCACTACATTTCATGCAGGCTCCCGCCTATTTAAAGGTCATGGTCAGACACACACAAGTAACCAGTTATGCTGTTCTCTAAGCATTCCTATCCAGGCATACCTGTGCCCATTTGTGCTGTCCTTGGGGTGGTTGGCTACACTTCCACTCTACAGTAGGCAGTGGGCATTTGCCAGTGGCCCTCATGTGCCATATACCATTTATTATGGACAAAGATCTCAATGGCAGGGCTCCCCTGGGTTTCTGTCCTGTTGGGAAAGCATCCTCAGCCCAGTTGGAAACAGAAGCAGCATGGGAATAGGATTCAGCCCTTTCACTGTTAGAACCCCTAACCACCCGCTATCCTGCCTGTCTAGGAAAACTCTAGGGTAATAAGAGTGGAAGCCTTCCCAGGCCTGTCTGGTTGTTAAAATGTCCACAGAGAGACTCAAGAGCCCTTTCTTCTCCCATATTCCTGCCCTCCATGTCCCCCTGCAATGGAGCCTTTGAAATGGAAGGTCTGTGGGACACCCTGCACTCTGAGCAGGTAGGGCTTCAGACCACCCAGGACAGCTCCTGTCTGGGGACTGGGAAGACCCTGGGTATGTACTTCTCTACACAGATCCTTTGTCAGCCCTTCCAGCAGGGTCCCCAAAGGAGTCTTCTGTCTGCATTTCAAAGCCTGCCCAGGAATCATGTGGCTTCCTCCCACCCTTAATGAGAGACCTCTATCTGCTTTCCCATGGGCTCCTGGCCTATGCAGCAGGGGATCTGAAACCTCTTATCTAGGCCTTAGCCCCAGACCCTGGAGATTCCCAGGACCCCACTCTCTCCTGCTGCCACCATCTAGCAGAGATATTGGGATTTATGGGTCTGTTTCAGACTGTCCCCTGAAGTCAGCAGCTGGGTGGGACCCACTGTGTCTAGCCCAGTAGCCCTGCCTGTGCTGTCACTGATCCTCCTATTTTAATAGCACTGAAAAATGTCCTACAGTGCTCTCCAGGATCTACAAGGAACCCAGAGGCATCCCCAGCCCTGAGCTAGGCGGTATCCCCCACTCCTAGTTCCGCTCACCAGTCTCCTGCTTAGCGATGGGGTGCTTGGCTTTCTGGGTTCAGCGGCTTTCAACAGTGCTGGCTCCTCCCCTTCCCAGGGAGAATTGAAACTTAGCAAGATTGTCTGAGCTTGCAGCCCCGACTACCATCACACTGTCACACCAGACATAAAAAACTGTCACTGCCCCCATTATTGTAATAGCACCAAGAAATGCCCTGCAGCACTCACCAGGATCTACAAAGAGCTGGGGGAGTCATCCCCTAGCCCCGCACAGAATCTTGTGCTGTACTCACCACTCAGGCTCACTGCTCAGCAATAGAGTGTGCAGCTGCCAGGCTCCGACCTCTTTCAACAGTGCTGGCTCCTCCCCTTCCCAGTGAAAAAAACGGAAACTTAGTGAGATGGCCTCCCCCACCCACAAACTGAGCTCAGAAACAAAATTCACACTTAGGGGCCCTTGGCTGGGTCCTAAGGTATGGAAATTGCAGATGGCTGCCTGCTTTCCCTCAGGACCAGCCCAGCTATGTGTTGCACTTTCTGCTCCAACAGCCTGACCTCCTCTCAGGTGAACATAGCCTAGTCTTCCCTTTTCACTGGGCCACTCCAGCTGCACCAGGATTCCCATAAGCTGTGTCAGTGGCAGCAGGCCCCCTCTGGTCCTTACCCCACCCTCAGACCCCAGCACCTCCCTCTTTCCATTGGTTTGTTCCCTGCAGATCTCCCTGTGCTATGAGCCTCTAACTTGTCCTGGCTGAAGATGAACAGACATGGTGGCCTTCTATGGGACTCTTATGGCTGTGCACACTGGCACCACCTAGGAGATAACATTGCCCCGCAGGAGTCACTGGTTCCCCACCTCCACTGCCTCAGGTCAGCTCCGTCCCTGACAACCAGCCCCCAAAGTCTGCTGTGATGAAAGAGTGTCTGCCCCAGCTGCAGTCCAGGGTTCCCATGGCCTGTCTGGATGGAACCAAACCTCTATTGTGTAAGGGAAGGAGGGGGCTGATGTCCCTTTGCTATACAGAGAAGCTCATGCAGGGAGGGCCAGAGGAAAACCACCCTAGGAATCACCAAGGAACCTTGCCAACCTCCCTTAAGACAGCGGGTCCTGAGGGCCGAGCACACTGCTCCTGCAGGGCTGGTGAAGGCAACAGGTGCTGGCCTCCGTGGAGAAGTCAGTCAGGCCCAGCTGCACCTTGCCCTCAGAGAAGACCCCTGCTCTGCCAAGAACTTTCTCCAGTTCAAGGAATCAGAGCCTCAGAGCCCAGGGACTTGCTGAGCTGCCTGCCCGGGGAACTGGCAGGGCAGACACCAGGCTCCCTTTGTGTCCTCTAAGGAGCAGAGCCCTGCCACAGGGTCTTAACCTGTGTTTCCAGGCTGAGGGCAGGGTCTGTGGCCAGCACCCTGTCCTGCTGATGCTCTTGAAGGTAGAATCAAGCATGGTGTCTGTGGCTCACCATGTTTTGTAGCCTGGTGAACAGGGAGGGAGGATTCAGTGACCTCCATGTCTCTCAGGGCTGTGCTACTGTTTCACATCCCCTTCGTTCCTCTTCCTTCTCTCTTCCCCCTTCCCCCTCCCTCTTGCATTTCCCAGTCGACTCAGACTCTGGTTTCAGTTTTGTTTCTCTTTGGTTCCTAGTAATTCAATTCAGTCTGTGCCTAGAAACAGAGCATCATGCAGGGCACAGATTCAAAAAAGGAGTGTGGGGAACAGATCTGAGATCAGCAGGCTTAGGAAGGTGACAGGCCTAGAGTAAGGGGCAGATGAGTGAGCAGTGCTGGGAGGAGGCTGGGGGACAGGGTGGCAAGGAAAAGGAACCCTGTACACAGGGGAAAGAACTGGGCTGGACTATGTTGACAGGATAAGGACTTGCCTGGCCTGCCAGTCCCCCTGTACTCTGGCTGACATTCTGCAGAAGCCTGCAAGCAGTTTTGCTAATGCCTGGCCTGAAAGAACTACAGAGTAGCCCCAGCCCCCACTTCCAAAGCTCAGTCCTTAGCCTGTGCTGAAGTGTCACAGTGTTGGGAGCAAGGAGACCACCACCTAACTCCCAGCTCCAGGGTAAGAGACCAGGATACACAGGGCGCAGAGGAAAGTCAGGGCCCAAGTCCTAGCTAGTGGTGTCGCAAGAATGCAGGCTGGAGTTCTGTGTCTGAGAATCTTAGAGAGTGCTCATTTCCCCAAGTGTACATCTGGGAGAGGGGATGCCCACTCTGGCCAGTCTGCTTTGCTCTGCAGAGTGTTTAACCTACTTTTCTTTCCTTTCTTTCTGCTTCTCCTATGTGGACTGTTCTGCTGTCCAGGTCTGGGATGCTGCATCTGAAGACAGGTGCCACTTCAGGTCTCTACACAGCCAGCACCGTGTGTCCTTTTGTTTTCCTTCCAACATGAGAACTCAGGTGCACAAAAGGGATTCTGGGGACCAGTGAGATGACTCAGCAGGTAAAGGCACTTGCTACCAAACCTGCCAACCTGAGTATGATCCCTGAGATCACATGGTGGAAGGAGAAAGCAATCTCTCAAAATCTTCTGTCCTCCACATGCCCTATGGTCTGTCCATCCCTTGGCACTGGACAGAAAGGCTTCTTAACCTGTTGACTGCCAAGCAGAAGAGACTGGAAAGCGGCACCAGGTAGGGGCAGCAAGAGTGAATTAAGATGCCCGCTCCCAGTTCCTCCTCCTCCTTTAGACAGGGTCTCATAGTATACAGCTCAGGCTGGCCTGGAATTCATAATATAGTCCAGGCTCGCTTCAATCTTCCGACCTCAGCTTCCTAGATAGCTCTCTCTCTGCCTCATGATTATGGATAAAGTCATGAGCTCTCGGGGGTTCCTTTACTCTGACACCATGCACTGAAACCATAAACCAAATTAAACACTTTCTTTTATAAGTTGCCTTGGTCGTGGTATGTTATCACAGCAATAGAAAAGTAACCAAGACAGTGGCTAAGACTGTCCCAGGCTGGAAACTCTATCTCCAGCTCTCTCTACCTGCACTTGATCTTACTGCCCAGGGCCATGCAGAGTACAAGGTACATAGTTCCCTGCTGAGCCTGGCAGCCAGGACCTTCCGGGGTGAAAGAAAACCCAACTCTTCAGAAAGAGGAAATGGTGTGAGGGTCCCAGCAGAACCTTCTATATCAGCAGCCACCTTTAAAGCCATCTGTCCCTTACTCGGGCAGATCTACAGCTGGCTGGCAAATAATCCCAGCACCCTATGGGCACATCCTCACCTGTCTGTCATCTTTATTTGCTTGAGCTCCAGTGTCACATGCACAGTGCCTATTGACATCTGCACAATGGCAGATGGTAAATATAATCCTTGTGCTTGTACCTTGGTTTTGCATGGAGATGTCTGTATATTAATATCTAATTATTGGTCCCTCATCATTGAAAAGTGTTGGGCACTCAGCTCTAAATGGGACATCTCTATCACACTTTTCCACAAGTCTCAGTGATTGTCTTGGAAGAGGTGACAGACTGTAAGAGACAGAGGTAGTAGAGGATTGCAGAGAAGCAGTGTTTTCTGGATATGATAAGGCCATTGTACTCATGAACTCACAACAGCAGTGATTACACGCACGAGATCAAGCCAGCCAAAATCCAACACAAATCCGGGAGGACATCATTAAGTCCCAACCTTAGATGAGAAGTGACTAGCAATTGATGGTTGCTACGGGGGAAGAGTCAGTTTTCTTCAGGGTATGCAGTCCCTAAAAGGCTATCCATGCTCCACTAGATGCCCTTTACCATGCACATACAGGTAGTACTAATTGGGACTCAGTAGGTTTTTTTTAAATGAAGTTGGGATTGAAAATTGGTAGGAGGATTAGGGGAGGAATCATTGGGGAGGGAATGAGATGGATTTAGTCAGAACATAACATGTCCATATATGAAATTCTAAGACAATAAATAAATATGTTGAGCACTGTGTCCCTGGGTACACATGACCCAGAAGACAAGGATCCCCAGGATTTTCCACCACAGAGGGACCTATCACAGCAGAATTTAATTGAAAATCTAATTCTAGGTGAGGGAGCCCTCAGTATCAGGGGACATTTAAAAGCTTCCTTTTGTGTGGACCCCTGTAACCAGAGCCCTAACATGATGAGCAAGCCCAGGTTAAAGATATATTGTCTGTCTCCTGCTCAATATGTTATAAAATGGACCCAGCCCCAAGGGCACAGGGAGTCTCAGGTGCCACCTGGCTCCTCCTGGCCAAGAAGTGGCCACAGTGGGAGTATTTTCACCAAGGAGTTTGGGCCAGGATGTCACTGTGCCCATGTCACTATGGACATTACAGACACAAGGACCAGGCTGCAGAGTGTGAAGCTCCCTGTCCATCCCCAGGCTCTTTGACAGTAAACAAAGACAGACTGGGTAGCAAGATGCAGAACAAGTGCCACTCTGTCCCCAACTCACCAAGAAACGAGCCATTGAGTGAAGCATGACTGGCAGCCGGAGCCTTGCCACAGTGCACAGAGGCTTGGCACCACGAAAGGTGGTAACCAGGCAGATGTCAAGCTACTGGAGAAACTGATCAGATTCATCTGCTGTATTTCAGGTGTCCTCCTGCAGGCCCTGCTTCTCCTGAGCACAGGAGAATGGGACCAGGTAATGCTTTCTTTCCACCCTCCACTGTGCCTCTGTCTGATATGTGAACCCCATCACCAACAAACAGTAAGAAGAAAGAACCCCAAGGTTCTGGCTGCAGCAACAAAGCTGAGTCATCAATCAGCCTGTCTTGGGATGACTCCCAGGGAGGGCTGTGACAGCAGCAGCCTCTGGGGTTCCATCCCAGTGTGCTGAGTGACCAGGTGCTCAGGGTTGCTGCCCACCTGCTGGGCCCTTACCTGGCTTCCCTGTTATTTACCATTGTTATCCATAGCAGCATTTTACACTTTTGTAAGCACTTCTTTGTTCTGTTTTGAGACAAAGTCTCCTTGTGTACACTAGGCTGGCCTTGAACTTACAGTAATCCTCCTGTCTCCATTTCCTAAGTACTAGAATAACAGGTGTGCATTTCAATGCCCAGCTATAAACACTATTTTAAGCTGTTTCAGACTCATAGCAAAATTTAGCAGAAGGTACAGAATTGTATATGCACCCTCTTCATCCAAGTGCATAGCTTCCCACTGCCAATGTCTTCAGCAGAGAACCCTATGTCACAGTGGATGAACCTACAATGGCTGTCACTGTCACCCGGTGGCCACAGTCAACATTTCTACATCACAGTCCCAGTGACAAGAACCACAAGTATAGTGTCACTCTGTGCACCATCACTGCCCCAAGCCCTAGGACAAGGTCCACCATGATAATGTTACTCAACACACTGTCACAGACCCAAACCCCTGGGCTCTGGCTGTGTCTCCCTGCTCCTACCCTTGGTGACCCCTGAGCTCTCTCCTGTCCCCATCACTGTGTCTTTTTCAGGAATGTTACAGCATTCACTCAGCAACTTTGTGGTAACCACACCAGAGTGGGCTTTCTGACTGTCTCTGCCTGGTCTTGCTTCCCAGAATTGACCCAGAGCTGAGGACAATCAGAGGCAGATGGCTGGGGCCCACAGCTGAGAATAACTCTTGAACTGGAATTCTCTAGGTAAGGAAAATTTTGCCTTTGCAGAAAGTTATGTTATACAAGGACCTATATTTTGTCACTGCGACAAAAACCCTGAACTGATCAGCTTACAGAACAAAGACTCATGTTGGCTCACAGTTCTGGAGATGCTGGTCCATCATCCACTGGCCCTGTGATAAGGCCCTGCCTGCATCACAGTGGGAGACTGTGGCAGAGCAAAGCCACGCACTTCAAAGCCAAGAAGTGACAAGGAGGAAAGGGGACTGGGCTGGGGTCTCAGAGTCCTTTTCAAGGGCACACTCCCAATATCCTGAACACCTCTTGCTAGGCCCACCTCTTAAGAGTTCTATAAACTTCCAGTAGTGTCACTCTGAGATCAAGTCTCCACTACATGAACCTTTGGGAGATGCTTAGGATACAAATAATAGAAGCTGCTAAAATGTGCTGCAGATAGATCCAAGCCAAGGCCAGTAAGTCCAGGCCTGAAATGGAAAAACAAACAAAAACACAAGAGATTCTGTGCTGTCTATAGCTCTCAATGTTACTTAATGTATTAAAAGGAAAGTATAAGTACCAGATATAAACTTGAAGAAAGGTATAGCCAAGGCTACACCCAAAGGTATGGCACAGTTCTTCATCCTCTGGAGGGGTTCCAAGCTCACCAGGTGAGCAGCAGAAACAGTGTTGTAAGAGCAGGTGCTCCAAGCCCCAAAAGTCACAAGACCCTTCTCAGTGCTGGGGCATTGAATTTATCACAACACAGCAGTGACATTCATCACAACACAGATGCAGCTGAGAGCAGGGCACCAACTCCATCTAACATGAGTGAAGCTGCAGTCAATGCTTGTTGAGTTTCCTCCCATGCAGCAAGGTCGGTAGGGGGCGACAGAGGGCCAGGTAGAGAGAGCTGCCATGGAGTGGGATAAAGGGTTGGGTATCAACAAGCCAAAGACCTAGACCCTGCCTGGCTAGGAATGCCCTGAGCTTGTCCCCTTACAATTGGAGGGGGGTCAACATGGCATATCAGGAGATACGATGGAAATGCATTCTCTCCTTTCTATCCCTGAAGGTATATGGGTACTGTAATTGTTAACAATGATTGTCAACTTGGTTAGACCTGTAATTGCCTAGAAGACAAGCCTCACGACATGCCTGTGAGGGAGTGTCTAGATTAAGTAAATTGAGGAGGGAAGGCACACCTAGAATATGGGTGATACCATTCCCTGGCCTAGTATTCCAGACTGAATAAGAAGGAGAAAGTGAGAGGAGCACGCACTAGTGGTCATCTCTCTGCTTCCTGACTGTGGGTGCAATATGGCCAGCTGCCTCAACCTCCAATTGTCTGGACTCCCTTGCCATGATAGACTGTACTCCTAGGACTGAAATCCAAACTCTTACGTTGCTTTTGTTATTTTGTCACAACAATGAGACAAGTCACTAATACAGGTAGCAAGAAGTCTCAAACCCAAAGGGCTCTGTCCAACTATGCTTGGGGCTTATCTGAGCCCATGAGATTGGTGATCTAACAGTAAGATGTATCAGAACCAAGACTGGGGGCAGCAGAGATGTGCTCTTACTGAGATCCTGAGGCTAGAATCAGTCCCAGGGCTCCCCCATCTACCAGCAGTCACTGGCACACATAGGCATGCCCTGCTTGTAGATGCATCACGGGACTTCTGCCTGTCTTCACATGGTACTCAACATATAGGTCTATGCCCAAACTGTGCCTGCTTATGAGGTCAGCGGCCATGAAGGAAGGGCTGGCCCACTCCAGCAGATCCAAGTCTAACTCATTATGTCTGTGATAGTCCTACTTGACTGGGCATCAAGACGTCAGCATAGGAATTTGTGGGAAAGCAACTGTGCCTACAGTCAAGCCTGGGTCAGGATCCCATCTGTGATCTGCAAGGGCCACTGCAGAGACTGGACTTCCTGAGGAGCCTGTGCTCTGAAGCCCTTGTACTTTTTCCTGGGCCAGAGGACTGCTTGATGCCCAGTGGTCACTGAGTCACTGTAATTCCTAAAAACTCATCAGCCTCTGTGCTAATGGAGGCTCATCTCCCTGCCATGATCACGTGGCTTACTATGTCCATACAGAGGAGATGGTATATGCTCCATGGAGCTGGCCTGGTATGTCTGGGGGTGGGAGAAGTGAATAGGGTGGGGGGCAATACATGTCCAGGCAGGAGCAGGGCAAAAAGCTTCTGAATTTCTGCTCTTTCCAGTTTCTGCATTGGATAGGAAGGATCCAGGCAGCTGGATGCTGGTGTCCCCTGCATCCCAGGGAGAAATCAATACACCTGTATGCCAAGAGACTGGGATGGATTGATACATCAAGGATGCTTGGGTTCAGGATGCCAGGTGTTCTCAATCATATTTATTGCTTGCATGTGTGTTTGCTTGCGTGTGTGCGTGTTGCATACTGTGGTGAGGCCAGAAGTCGAAGTCAGATATCTTCTCCCAATACTATTAACCCATTTTATTCATTTGTATGTGTAGTTATGCTTTCGTGTACATATGTGTATATAGGTATATTCATCTATATGTGCATGTATGGAGGTCAGAAGATGAAGCAGTGTCTTTATAACTCTCTACCTGAGAAAGTATCTCACACTGGCCTGTTTCAGTTAGGCTGAATGGCCAACAAGCCGTCAGTCTCTGCTTATCCACCAGCCCTGGGATTACAGGTGTAAGCCACCATAACTGGCTTTTGCATGGTCCTGGGGATCTGAACTCATGTTCTTGTGCTTATACAGAAAGCTTTCCCTGACTCAGCCATCTGCCCAGCCCCATATACCTTATTTTTTCTTTTTTTATACAAGGTTTCTTACTGAGCCTAAAGCTTACTTCTGGACTTGCTGGCTTATGAACCCCTGGTATTTCTGACCTTGTCTCCTGTGTGAGGTTTGCAGGTGTATGCCACCATGGCCAGCTGTGGGATGGTCTGTATGTCAAATGTGTTTCTCTTATTGGTCAAAAAATAAAACACTGATTGGCCAGTAGCCAGACAGGAAGTATAGGCGGGACTAACAGAGAGGAGAATTGAGAGAACAGGAAAGCAGAGGGAGACACTGCCAGCCACTGCCATGACAAGCAGCATGTGAAGATGCCGGTAAGCCACGAGCCATGTGGCAAGGTATAGATTTATAGAAATGGATTAATTTAAGATGTAAGAACTAGATAGCTAGAAGCCTGAGCCATTAGGCCAAACAGTTTAAAAAATATAAGCATCTGTGTGTTTATTTTATAAGTGGGCTGTTGGACTGCCAGAGCTTGGCGGGACCCAGAGAGAAAACTCTTCAGCTACAATGACCAGCTTTTTACATGATAGTTTAGGATCCAATTCAAGTTCTCACATTTGTGTAACAAGCATTTTTATCCACTAGATCATTTCCCAGGTCTGGGTGCCTGGTTTTGAAGTCATTCTGCTGACGTTTAAAACCCTTTATCCTGACTCCCTTACTTGGAACTGAGATCCCATTGGCCAGAGAAGCAATCACATTGGCATGCTTAGTGCCAATCATGGTGGCTTCTCTGGTGGCTAGGCACAGAAAGGAGTTCTGAGAGATTCTAGTTAGTGACATCTATTCTAGTGACTTCATTCTTAGTATGTCCGCTCTTGCCATCCTACTGACTGTATCTTAGAAAGGAGTCCCTCAGAGTCTCAGCTAGATGCTGCCCTCCTGAGAGCAGACTCATGGCCAAGGCACAGTGCCAGCCTCCCTCCTTGCCAACTAGTGCCTTGCACAGAAGTAGAGCTGATAGCAAATAAACCCATCCCTATGGGGAAGTTTAAGAGCCAAATGTGAGGTGACCAAGGATGTCGGCTAAGGCCTCATTCATTCCCTAGAAGATAAATGTTGGGGACAAGGGTGTTGGGAGGGACAGCAGAATAAAGGAACTCTGAAGAGCTGTAGGGACCACACAGTGGCCTGACTTAGACATGAGTACAACACTGCTCAGTAGCCAGCAAACGGTTTTGCTTCTTTCCACCCTCCACTCAGTTTTTCCCCATCATAACTCCCTTCTGCTTGCTTTCCTGGCTTGACAATACCTCCACTGTACAAACAGCAATACAATAACATCATCGGCTAAGAATCAGTGTAACTAACAATGTCTTGTTGGTTTACAACAAATTCACATCAACATTTCCCCTCAAATATGGACTTCAAGGGATCAGACTCCTGAGACATTCCAGCTGCATGTATTTGTACAAAAAACATTTATTGAGGCCCAGGCACTGCTATCCCAGCCCTTTGGGTATGCATCCTTCGATCTGGATCTCTGCTGGCCAGCCGGAGTATCTGTTCTTGGATTGATCCGAGTGGTTGATCTATGTGAAGAGAGGAAAAGAGTGTCATTTATCCACTAATCTCATAAAAAACTACTGTATCTGTGTCTGTTGTGAGCAAAAGTCTCACATAGAAGTTATAGCGGCATTTTCTCCAACCCATCAGCTGGGTGGTCACAGGAGACAAGGTGCTCAGTCAGAACTTTTCTCTTCCTCCTTTGTTTTCGTCCTTGATAAATGGACACCTCAAGTCCCAGGTGACTCCTTGAAGGAAGACAATCAGCCAAAGTCTTTCTGTCCAGTGCATATTTGGCATCTCCGTATTGGAAATGGTTAATATATAACCACCTCAGGCAGTCCCCTCTGCCACCATCCATGGTGTGATTGCTGTCCCCGGAGGAGGGACTACAGAAGGCTAGCCTCCTGCTCAAACAGAGTAATCACCACCAGTAACTGGAACCAATTTGCATTCTGTAGTGAGACCAGAGGAGTCTAGGATGGAACATGGAACTCATGGGAGAGGCTGACCAGTGCCGATGGGACAGTTTCACACACCACAGCCCTGTCTGAGAAGAAATGGGGAAAGCCACTCACTTTTTCTCTCTCCATTTCTGGAGGGAGCTCAAAGTCCTTTGCTGCAACAAACACCCAGCTTGACCTGAACTTCATGTTCTTGATTTCTTTGCTTCCAAGGGCTTCTATAGCATTCTTTGCTTCGGCCTTCAGTCTGGGGCAAAAGAGAAAGCATGAGAAGCCCTCTTGTGAAGGGGTTTGAAGGTGTGTGTATGAGTGTAAGAGTGTGTGATAGTGTGTAAGTGTTGTGTGTGTGTCAATGTAAGTGTGTGAATGTGTATAAGAGTGTGTGTAAGTGTATGAGTGTGTAAGTGTGTGTGTGTGTGTGTGTGTGTGTGTGTGTGTGTGTGTGTGTGTGGCTATCTGGTTGTCTGGCTGTCCTGGTTGTGTCCCATTGCTTGTTCTGAATGGAAGTGAAACTGGCCTGACTCACTACAGCCCAGGGTTTCACCTCTAGGACAGCATGTGCTGGTGGACCATGTGACCCTACTAGTTGGCATAGGGCCACATTTGGGAGCCTTTTGCACTTCATTTGAGTCCAGTAACCTTACAGTTATGAAAGGTCACAATGTTTCACTATTCTGTCATATCCTCCCACTCAGCCAGCTACAATCCCATCCCTGTGGCCCTCCTGCTTCCATATAGTAAAGCCAGAACAAGCAGCTGGAAGATGAAAGCAAGTATCAAAAGTTTCCTTTCAATGCTCCAAAAGGTTAGCTGAGAGAGCAGAGGAAGGGTTTAAAAGGAGAGAAACAAGAGGTCCAGGTGCTCCTAAGCAAATTCACTTCCTAAACAAGGAGCTCTACATCTCCACAAGCTCTTTGAACTAGTGGGATGTACTTGGAGAGTCAATGACTTACATAAGTACTCCTAGTAACAATTGTGTGTGTGTGCAAGCGCGCGTAGGCATTGAGTGTGAGCATGTGAATGAAAGTGTGTGCACAGCATGTGTATGCATATGTGTGTGTGTGTGTGTGTGTGTGTGTGTGTGTGTGTGTGTGTGTGTATGTATGTGTGTGTGTGCATGAATGAAATGTGTCCTAGTGCAGATGTGAGAGTGGTTTCTGGCATTTATCACGCCATTTCTTCCCTTCCCTTGTAGAAGTATCTCAATCCTTGGGCTCTGCAGGACCCAGGGGCCTCCTGACTAGCTGCTCTTGTCACATGGGAGTAACTGCATACACTCACCTGGAGCTCCCATCATCGTGGGTCACCATGAATAACAGGGATTTTGAAGGGGCGCTCTGAATGAACTTGGCCATTGGCCCAGAGTTATCTGTAGAGTCAAAGCCAGACAGTAATTCAGGGTCTTCTCAGTGAATGAGGTTCCCACCTTGGCTATGGGCTTCCTTTCCCCTCTACTGTCTACCCACTCTGAATCCCCTGCTTCCTAGACTGGTCCCAGGGGCACAATCATACTTGGCTACTTCCTCAGGAGTGATGCTAGAAGTTCTATGGGAAGCTATCTTGGAGAAGCCCTGTGGACATCGACAACTTGCAGCAGGTGCTCAGGGTATAACAAACATAAGTCCAAAAAAACAAGGCTAGCCACACAGAGCGGAAAGCCCTGAATAAATTAAACCCTGAAGCTGTAGTTAGCAAAACCTGCCACAAACCCCAGCTTCTGCAAGCACCCATCAGCCACCTCTGCCATTAGAGACAAGAGGTCAGTCCCCAAAGGTGATGCCTTAGAGCATGGCGCAGAATTGCAACAGAACCTACATACAATAAACACTGGCCAAAAAACTCTCTGCCTCCATTTCCCCATGGGGTCTACATAGTCGTCTTCATCTTAATCAGAAAAGATTTTTCTTACCACCTTCATACATGTCAAAGTACTTTGTTGATATCACCTTTCCAGTCTCATCTGAAAGCAGAAGAAATGGCTTTAAGGGAAAGCTCATGGGACCTGGGTCCGCTGGTAGCCCTAGCACCAAGTGACTGGAAGAAATAGGACCGAAGTGGTCTCCAGCCTGGAGAGGGGCTGTGTGGTGGGATTATTCTTCCCAATCCTGGCCAGAGCGACTCCATATTGTTGTCATCTGTGTGCCAACCTGCAGCAAAACAGGCTGTCCTTCCCATGGGCTACATGCCATCTTTCCACATGTTCAGACAGTGTTTGCTGAAACCAGAACCCCTGATAAGAGCAAGGTCAGAGCACACAGAGACGTGGGACCCCTGCCTCTTCAACACTAGGTGGCGCTCTGAACTAGGTTTGCTTAACTCCGTGGCCTGGGAGCCTTTCCATAAAAGAGAACCTTGGTAGGCAGAGGATTTGGAAGTGGCTGTGGCAAGGCTGTCTGTGAGTCATCCAGGTTCTAGTGAACAACCCTAATAAATTAATTTATGATCACCAGGCTAGACCTGTTGGACTCCTTGTCTGGCCCATCTGCTCCTTCCTTATTTGGGGGTGAATAGAAGTTTCTTTTACTTCTCCCAGGGAACTCTTGTAGCAATAGGCTGGTCTCCAAGGAGCACCTCCATCAGGGAAGGAGATGCCTGGCCACTTCTCTAGGACTCTCTCCATCTGTGTCGGTCACAGGATCTTAATGCTCCTCTTCTTCCTCTCTGAACCATCAGAAGACCCCAGACCTTTTCACTTCACACTAGGTGTCCTGGGGCGTATTCTGACTGAGGGTGGTATGTCCTGTCCCACAGCCCTGCCATCACCAACCCTGTAGTCGGCTGGTTCCTGCATGACCCCTGTTCTCTAACCTGATGTGGTTCTTATTACAAGGGACCTCTAAAAACACCCAGATCCCAGAGGAGGCTGATGCACCTGCACAGGTTCCCACAGCCCTGATAGAACTGGTCAGTGTTGTTACCTTTCCCCAGTCCCCAGGACCCAAGAGCAAAGGGCTCCAGGGCCAGGGTCTGTGTGGATCTGAGCTTCACAATGTGTCCTCTCTACCTGCCCTTTCTCAATTATAAAGTCTCTTTCAGATTCAGTTTTTGGTTATTTTGTTGTTGTTGGACCACAAATGGTTTGTAGAGTAAGAGTTTTAAATAATTATATCATTTTAGAATTTATTACAGTGTAGACCTAGATATGGGTAAACATGTTGAAAAACTGTGGTCTTGGCCTGGGGAGATGGCTCAGTAGATAAAATGCTTGCCTTGCAAGCATGGGGAACTGAGTTCAAACTCTAAGAACTAAGCTGACACAGAACTGTATATCTGTAAACCCAGTGCTTGTGTGGAGATGAGAGGTGGAGATTCATGGGCCAGCTAGTCTGGTGTGTAAAACAGAGACCCAAAGAAGAGATCTCAAAGAAAGGGTGAGGTAAGGACTTACATCTGAGGTTGTTCTCTGACCTCTACATACACTACACTCATGTGGATATTCATGTACATCACACACACACACACACACACACACACACACACACACAAATTTTTAAAAGAAGAAACATCAAGGCCTTTATGGCAATCCTATTTCAGGTGGAATTTCTGAGAAATGTGCACTTACAATTGACGACAGCGATGTTTATCCCTCTTCCCACGTTCCCCGTCTTCTCTCCTAACAGCCTAAAAAGTGAGTGAGAGTCGGTCAAAGAGCTCCCACGTGAGCTAGGTGAGCAGCCCTCCCTCAACAGGCCTTCTGTGCTCAGGACAGTGGCACCCCTCTCCAGAATGCTCCCCCAAATTATTCCACCTTTGCCCTACACACCTACAGGATTCAGACTCAGTTCCTGGGTGCCTGGAAGCTGCATTTCATCTTATAATCTGGACCAAAGGACAGACACAAAGGCTCTTCACCAAGGCTTCCCTCACCAGCCCCTGAGAAGCCATGCCTGGTCTCACAGACTTGAGGGAGGACGGCAGCTCCACTCTAGGCTGGGCTTCTTCAAGTCTCTGCTTCCTTCTCCCTGAGGACCCACAGGCTTTGCCCGCCTCCTAGTTATTCCTTTCACCCATCCACCAACTACAACCCAGCTTATCTCCTTAATAAGCACTTTGCATTGCATCATTTAAGTTTTGCTTTTCTTTTGAAGAGATTTTTATTTTAATAGGTGTATAGTTTGTGCACACAAGTGCAGTGCTTGAGAGGGTCAGAGATGGTATAGGATACCCTGGAGCTGGAGTTAAAGGCAATTTTGAGCTGCCAGACGTGAGTACTGGGAACCCAAGTCAGATCCTCTAAAAGAACAGTAAGTGCTTTTAACCATTAAGCCATCCTCCCAACCCATTTTTGCCTGTCAATTGAAGAAAATGAAATGTCAGTATCATATACAATTTTAATTCAATTTTTGTGCCTTAAATCCAGGAAGACTAAAGTATTTCCTAGAGATGATAATTGTCATTGGAGGTCATAGGAATAATGTATGTGTATATGTCTGGTGTGTGTGAATTCTATGTGCATGTATGTGGTATGTCAGCATGTATCCATGTGTATGCACATGTTCATAAGTGTTGTGTGCAGTGTATGTACAAGTTGTATGTATGCATATTTCTGCATGTATGCATGCATGTATTGTGTCTATGTCTGCATATGTGCAGATGTGCACACATGTGTTGTATATTTACAATATGTGCATATTCTGGACCTTTGCCGAGATTAGCATCAATGATTCAGTATAATCATAAAGAGAATCTGGAGCTTGTCTTTCATGTCAGAGCTATAATGTGGGCAACAGGCGCTTTAATACGCTGCCTCTGGCATGTTTAACTGAAGGCCTCCAGGAGCCACAAGGCCTAGCGCTTTCTCGGTGTTAGAGAACAGTCTATAAGTGCCCAAAAAGAGGCAAGGAAGGACTTCTGTTCTCAGTAGTAAAAAACTGGGTAACCATAACCCCCACAGGAAGCAGGAGGTGAGGAGGAACACACTTTAAAAAGATCTACTGGGAGGCAGTGGTGGTACATGCCTTTAATTCCAGCAGAGGCAGGTGGATCTCTGTGTGCTTGAGGCCAGCCTGGTCTACAAAGTGAGTTCAAGGACAGCCAGGGCTGTTACACAGAGAAACCCTGTCTTGAGAAGAACAAACAAACAAACAAATAGATCTGCTGGGATAAGAGAGCTCTGAAATGTAGCCAAGAACTTCCCAAGCCAACAGCTGACTGATGACAGATATTGCAGGGGTAAGTCTAACATTGAATGAGATCTTTGCTCTTGCAGGAACACCCACAGGTCAACAGAAGGAAGCCTGGAGAAGACACCAGCACTTCTTTTTTTTTTTTTTTTTTTTTTTTTTTTTTTGGTTTTTCGAGACAGGGTTTCTCTGTGTAGCTTTGCGCCTTTCCTGGATCTCGCGCTGTAGACCAGGCTGACCTCGAACTCACAGAGATCCGCCTGCCTCTGCCTCCCGAGTGCTGGGATTAAAGGCATGCGCCACCACCGCCCGGCTGACACCAGCACTTCTAACAGTCATGCAGGCCTTAGGGACAAAAGTTTGAAGGCAAATTGAGGGCCACATCAAATCTCTCAGATCTTATTGAGTTAGAGTCACAAAGGGCTAGATGAAGAAGACAGAAACTAGAATTTGTGGCCTTTAGCCCAGACTTTGTTGAACTAGGTAACCCAGAAAATGATGACATTTAAAATGTGTTCCAGAACCTGATCGTAGTTCAAGGTTCTCAGAGGTATTGCCTGGCACACTGTCAGAAGAAGCTTGACATACGAAGAAAGAAATCAACGAAAGAGCCAAAGGAGCTGGCAGAACAGCACGGACAACAGGGGCACACTCAGGCTCAGGGCACACTCACAGGCTCCAGCCAGCCAGCCAGCTGAACTTCCAGATAACAGGACTCAGTGCATTCAGAAAGGATGGGAAAAACGGAAATTTTCAATTAGAAGTCAAAAAAAAAAAAAAAGGCAAAAAAGGCAGGCTCACTTGGGAAAAAAGAAAGAGCAGCAGTCAATGGCTGGGTTTAAGGACAGATTAGACACAGTAGAAGAGATCAGTGGTGACGTGAAAAACAGTTCTATCTACAGTAAAGCATGGAGAGAGATGTGACAGATGGAAAGTGGACTATGGGGTATCAGGAACAGAGTAATGAGGTTCAATAGAAAGCAGTGAGCTGAGCAGCAGCGTCCATTGCTCTCTAAGTGACAGAACGTGACTTGTACAGGACCTTCCCCTACGACTTCCTACCATAATGCACTCAAACTGTGTGCCAGCATAAATCCTTTCTCATGTGAGTTGCTTTTGTTTAAGTATTTCATCATGGCAATGGGGAAATTTATCAGACACAATGAGGATATTGAAATATGCTTACTTAAGAAGCCCCAAATAGCTAAATAAGACAAAGCAGGACACACCAGGGTACAAATGCTGAGACCAGAGATAAGTAAAAATATCTTAAAAGCAATCTGAAAAGCACTGAGCACATCAAGACCCAGGTTTGAGGTTCCACCTTGCACCCCACTAAAGAAACTATCTCTCTAGAGATGTGCTGGCTTCATCTGTGAAGATGAGCATCACCTGAGTACTGAGCAGAGCTGTGCTCAGAACTGCTAAGACCCTTTCCAGAAGAGGTGACTTGTAAAGTCCTGTGCTTCTACTAAGTATTTGTAGTTAAAGTTTTTTTCACAAAGGAAAGTCCATGCCTAGATGGCTTCACTGGTGAATTACATAGAACTACCATCAAAAGAAATCATGAAAATCCAACCAAGACCACAAACAGCCCTCAGAGACACCCATTACCCTTCCCCGGGGACACAGTGGGTGTTTTGATTCCCACTCCTGATTTTCAGCCTTGTCAGGGGTTAGGAACATAAAAGTGCAGCCTCAGAGGGAAGAGAGGGGACACAGCCAAGCAGACGCTCATCTTCTTACACACAGTACTTACAGCTCATCCTCAAAGCAGATCTTGGCATACTTGTCTCGGCCACCACCACTGAGCAGACGGTAGGCATAGGTGTTAGGAGGACACGGTGCCCAGTGGTCACATTTTTGCCTTTTGGGGGTTGGGGCTGTAAAGACAAAAACAAGACAATCATAGTTGCTTCTCAGAGGTGACTGCTGTGTGGCCACCAGTACCAACAGCTCTATTCCAGGACTAACTCCCAGTGTGGTGGGGGAAACTCTAGAAGCAAAGTTGGCAGCTGTGTTTGGATCCTGAGAATGCTTCTCAAGATGCATGGTTGATGAAACTTGGTTTTGTCTTCTGGTAACAGCCATAGATAGTGAGCATGAGTAGCCATCTCAGAGGTTTTAGGATTGCTGCCCACAGCTGCTAACTCACAACACAATGAACACTGGTGGACACAAGCTTTCAGGTCACAGCAGATATGAACTACACTTCAGGCCATTTGACCCTAGAAGATGTACACAGCAGGTCCATCCCACAGCAACAGAATACATGCTTCTCTCCGGCATACAGAGAACATTTCCATACTTGACCTTTGCCAAAATACCTAGAAGCAACTAGAACATTCTCCAATGAAGAGCTTGTGTTAGGGAATAAAAGGAGACTCAGCAAAATTAAGACGGAAAGAATATCCTTGGGCTTCAGAGCTGAATCAGTAGTTAAGAGTACTGGCTGCTCTTGCAGAGAACTAGGGTTCAATTCCCAGCAACCATATCTGTAACTCCAGTTCCAGGGATCCAGTGCTCTTTTCTGGCTCCACAGCCACTGTATCCACACAGTGCATAGATATTTATACAGGTAAAATACTGCCCCCCCCACAAAATTTGTTTTTTATTTATGTATTTATTTATTAGTATTAGTATTGCTTAGGGGTTTTTGTTTGGTTTTGTTTGGGATTTTGTTGTTGTTGTTTTCTCAAGACAGGGTTTCTCTATGTAGCCCTGGCTGACCTGGAACTCACTCTGTAGACCAGGCTGGCCTAGAACTCAGAGATCCGCCTGTCTCTGCCTCCTGAGTGCTGGGATTAAAGGTGTGCGCCACCATTGCTCCACTTGTTTTGATTTTCATTTGTTTATTTTTGATACGGGGTCTCACTATCCAGCTCTGGCTGTCCTGGAACTCACTATGGAGACCTGACTGGCTTCAAACTCACTGAGATCCACCTGTCTCTGCCTCTTGAGTGCTGGGATTAAAGCTGTGTGCCACCACACTGGCTAAAAAAAATTTTTTTAAAAAAATTTTTTAAATGCTTTCTGAAAACATGATGGTAAAATGAGAAATGAGGATTTTCAGAAGCTGTGGAAACACACAGAAGCTAAACAACAGGGTTCTGAGCAGTGAACCAAAGGAGAAAATCTAAAATATCTTAATAGGACATTGTGCCTCCTGTGACCTCAGAACTCAGGAGGCTGAGGCAAGAGCACTGCTCTGCGTTCAAAGCCAGCCTGTGCTATGGATTGTGACTGCCTGAATCAATCAATTCCTGACACAATGGACACAAAGCAAATAGATACTAAAATGTATGGAATCCAGCAAAAGTAATTTAAAAAGCGATGTTTACAGCAATATTCACCCACATCAGAGAAGAGGAATGCTCCCTGGTAAACACCCTGATATTCACCTAGGAACTACAACAAGGAGAAAAAAACAAGCCTGAGGCAGGAGAGAAATAAGATGGATTTGAGCAGAAATGTATAAGATAGAGAAGACTAAGGGGTAACAGAAAAGATCAGTGGAACAAAGACTCATTTAATGAAAAAAAATCAGCAAAAATATCAGCAAAACTGACATATCTGAAGCCAGATTTAAAAGAAAGAGAAGATTCAAACAAGTTTGTGTATGAAAGAAGAGGAATTTTGATGCCACAGGACAGAAGGACAGAGGACTATTACTCAGATGAACAATCCTCATAGCACAAACTGGGTAGCCCTAGAAACATTCCATACATTCTTACAGCCTAACAAGACCAAATCATGAAGAAACACAGAACCAAACAGGTCAGTTACAAATAGAGGCTGAAAGAGTAATAAAAAGTCCATCATCAAACAGAAGCCCAGGGCCAGGTGGCTCCACTCCTGACTTCTCCCACATTTAAAGATGACCCAATACATCAATCCTCAAACTCTTCAAAAAACCCATCACAGGAGGACAGCATTATCCTGATACCAAAGCCAGACAAGGACACTGCCAGGAAATAAAATTACAAGCCAAGTTCTCTGATGACCATAGACACAAAAATCCTTCCCAAAATACTGAGAGACCAAATGCAGCAGCACACTCAAGGGTCACTCATCACAACAAAATGGGATCTTTCCTTGGTTTGCAAGGATGGCTCAACAAATGTAGATCAGTAAACATGAGACCACGAAGACTGAATGAAGGGCAAAGCGCTCACTGGGGTATCAATAGATAAGGGGATAGGGAAACAAGATAAAACATAGAAGGGCTCAACATAGTGCTGTATTGGTGCTGAGAGTCAGAGTCGGGAGTTTTTCTCTGAAACTAGGAACAAGTTAAGGCACTCTGTCTCACCACATCTATTGAATGTAGTGCTAGAAGCTCCTGCCAGAGCAGTTATGAAAGAAAGAGAAGTGAGAGGCATCAAAATAAGACAGGAAGTTATATAGTCTGTTTGCTATGAGCATCATCCAATAGAGAGAGCACCTGACTCCATGTAAAACTTAAAATTGACAAATTCAGTAAAGCTTCAGGATACACACACACACACACACACACACACACACACACACAAAATAGTACTAATATTTCTGTATACTAACAATAAACTATCCAGAAGAAAATGAGGAAACAATCTAATTTATAATTGCTATAAAACAGTAAAATACTTGGGAATAAATTCAACCAAGGAAGTAGATGCCCTGTATGTTGTAAACTATAAAACAGGAACAACAGAAGACAATTGCAAGTAGCATCGGCTGTTTGTAAATTAGAATAATTAATATTCTGAAAATATTCATACTTCCCAAAGTGATCCACAGATTCAAAATCCAATGTCATTCTTCACAGGAATAGAGTATGTATGGAAGGCTGATAAGACGGGTCAGTGGGAATGGGTACCTACTGTCAAAACCGATGACTTGGGCTCAGTCCCTGGAAACACATGGTAGGAGGTAAGAACTGATTCCCTTAAGTTTTTCTCTGCCCTCCACACAAGGGCTGGTGTGGCACACAGACACATACACACAGTCAATCAGTAAAATGAAAGAAAAACAGAAGTTTTATATGGAACCACAAAAGATCTTTAGCAGCCAAAGCAATCTAGAAGTAGTACTCTACCTGATTTTAAACTGTATTACAAAGCTTAATCATCAAAACAGCTTGGTAGTGTCATTAAAACAAACATACCAACCAATGGAACAGAAAAGGGAGCACAGAAACAAACCCCCACATTCAGTCTTTCATTTTTTGGCAGAGATGCATTGACACAAACAGGGCAAAGAGACAATGCTGGCTGAACTTACGACAACTTGACACAGAAACTAAAGTTACCTGAAAGGAGAGAACCACAATTAAGAAGATGCCTCCATAAGATCTGGCTGCAGGGCATTTTCTTAATTAGTTATCAATGTGGGAGGGCCCAGTCCATTGTGTGGTCATCCCTGGGCTGGTGGTCCTGGGTTCTATAAGAAAGCAGGCTGAGAAAGCCAGGGGGAGTAAACTAGTGAGCAGCTCCTTTCCAAGGCTTCTGCATTAGCTCCTGCCTCCAGGTTCCTGCCCTGCATGAGTTCTGTCCTGCATGAGTTCTGTCCTGACTTCCTTTGATAATGAATGGCAATATGAAAATGTAAGCTGAAAATCCTTTCCTCCCCAACTTGCTTTTTGGTCATGGTGCTTCGTTGCAATAGAAACCCTAAGACAGACACCATTTAATAAATGGTGTTACAAACTTGACCTTCTCATGCAGATGGATAAAGCCAAGTCACCTCACATTGTACACAACAGCAGGACTCAAAATGGATAAAAGACTTGAGTATAAGAACAGAAACTGGGGGTTGGGGATTTAGCTCAGTGGTAGAGAGCTTGCCTAGCAAGTGCAAGGCCCTGGGTTCGGTCCTCAGCTTCAGAAAAAACAAAAAACAAAAAACAAAACCCAGAAACTGTACCAGGTGGTAGTGGTGCATGCCTTTAATCCCAGCACTCAGGAGGCAGGAGCAGGTGGATCTCTATTAATTTGAGGCCAGCCTGGTCTACAAATCGAGTTCCAGCACAGGCCAGAGCTACACAGAGAAACTCTGTCTCGAAACAACAACAACCCCATCCCCTCCTCCCCCCAAAAGAACAGAAATCGTAAAACATGGGGAAAGCTTTAGTCATGTTGGCTAGGCAATGATTTTTCTGAAATGACCACAGAAGCACCGGCAACAGAAGAGAAAGTAGACCGCTGGAATACATCAAACAGAGCAAAGAAGCAGGGCAGTGGTGGTGCACGCCTTTAATCCCAGCACTCAGGAGGCAGAGGCAGGTGGATCTCGGTGAGTTCCAGGACAGCCAGAGATACACAGAGAAACTCTGTCACAGAAAAAAAAATGAGCAAAGAAAGAGACAACCAATAGAACAGGAAATAGTTCTGGGCCAGTCATCAGATACAGGCTAAGGCTCAAAGTACATAAGGAACCCCAGCAGTTCAATGACAAGTTTTAAACCTGATTATAAAATGGGCAAAGGGGTGTCTAAGATGAGACCCAAATCCCATACTGCATATTTCCAGGTGTTTTGTTTCTAAAGGTGATGATTTCAGTGTGTTAATGAGAACCTGCACTCCTGTGTTCATGGCAGTTTACTTACAGCATGAAATATGATATGTGTATATAATAAAATACTATTCAGCCTTAAAAAGACAATCTTGTGACTTTGGGAAAACTGGATGACATCCTGCCAAACGAAATAAGCCAAGCATAGAAAGACAAATACCACAAAACCTCACTCACATGTGGAATGTAAAGAAGTTAAACTCAAAGATACAGAGCAGAATAATGGACATCAGAGACTGGGCAGGTTAAAGAGTGTGGGAGGGAAATTGAAATGGCTTTGTTAAGAATGCATGTGAGTTAGATGAGATCTGAGCTTGTTTGATCAAGAAAT